AATATCAAATGTTTATGCAGATGGGTTTTCTCCAGAGTACGATGTATGGAGGACGGGACAAGTATCCAAGAAAACAAAATTTTATTCAGTTTTCCATTGTCTAAATCAGTGTCTCAAAGCTCTTTGCTGCAGGAGCAAAAAATATTTGGTTAAAAGTAAAGATGGGCCATAATTTTGTTATAAAATTGGATCCCTTTTTTATGTACCTTATATGCTAAACATGCAAGGTTATAATAAAACTAAAAATTGTGGTAAAGGATTTAGTAATTTTTTTTTCAAATTTTCATGTCATGTGACTTTAAGATGGGCATATAATTTCCATGTATTTTGGACTAAAATGGAAGCCTTAGTTTGATTTCATGGGTCAGAGCTTTTCCATCTTTGGCTTAAATCCATAACTTCCATTTATCATTTCTAGCTTCCTATTCTATGCTTAAGTGATTCATTCACATAATGATAGGATAGTTAATTATTAATCAACTTGATTCATTTTTTTATTTACTTCCTCATATTTGTCCACAAACTTCCTTTTATACTTCTTTCCATGCATCCTTTTGTCCTTGGCCAGATTCTCCTGTTTTTGTGTCACTTCCTTAATGTCCTTTTATAATTCCTTTCTTGAATTCCCTTTGTCTACATTTTGATCTTTAAAACCTGATTGAACTCTAGAAATATGTAGGAATCCTCATGGATTATTAATGTTTTTTGCACCCCAATTTATTTTAATTTCTACCTTGTAAGCACAACTGTTAGTGGGTGAGAGTCACAGGTTTCCTTCACTATTTTGGAAAGTGGTGTGCTGGAAAAGTTGGGAGAACAGTATACAACCTGTTTTTGAAATGGACCTCCTTAAAGTTCTTGGTTCTTATGAGTTCAGTTGAGTCAAAGGTTTCTATACGTCATACATTAGCTATGATTTATGGAGGAGGGGTTTACCTGATTTGAGTAATCTAAAACTAATAAAAGGGTGGACTAAAAGATTGCTCAGTCATAAAGAACCGTATATTGGGGAGACATGAGACCTCTAACAGATGATTCTTATGGAAAAAAATGTTAACATTGAGATTATAGTATACAAAAAGAGAGGGAATTATTTTCATTAATGAAGAATTTAGCCATGTTGCCAAGTTGCTGTTCAAACATGAAGCTGATCACCTGTAGGTGAGAACATATCTGAGTCTTCCATGATTTATTTATGAAACCTGGCAGTATGTACTCCAATCAATTTACAATTCAATTGACTAAGAAGTCAAAAGTAAGATGAGGCTTTAGATAAGCTTTCTGACCCCTCATGTTGACCATCAGGATTATGCAGAAATTCAACGCCTATTCCCAGCGTTGAATAGCTGAACTCTAAACAGATTTTTTCCATTGTATCACAGGAAGAAACCTAAGAGCAGATTAAAGTGACTGATTTAATCAGATTGCATGTTTTGACCATAGGGTCTACATTGGAACATCTAAAGTTCAACATGCCGAGGCTTTGAGAAAACACTAATGACTTTGCCACTTCTAAATATGTACAATGTCAACCTCATGAATTTGTTAATCTTTCGAATCAAATGTATGCTAACTTCCCGGCGCATCTCAACATGGCCTCTTGGTGTGCAAATGTTTCATGGCTTTAATAATCTTTCTACTTTTGAGCAAAAGTTGCGTCAGCACCTCCCCTATCTTCATGTTTCCAGGAAAAGAGGTTGACATTAGATGATTAGTGTTGACCCAGAGCTCTTGGCAGATCTGTCATGTCAGTAATATCACAGGACAGGTGACAGCTGCAGAAGTCAGTCATGCAGCTGAACAGGGATCTTTGTTGCGGAAGGTGCCTGGGCAGAGACCCTGATGATGATGGCACCAATGAATGACTCCATTTAGAGACCTGCTGCCTCCTCCATATCACTGACAGAGGTCAACTATAACCTGTGTCCATTCTTTTCTGTTTCACCAAGAGACGCCGCGTCCAGGTCAACTCTAGGGACTGTCTCGCTTGCTCCTTTGCTGTATTTGAAATAAATTAGAAAGTTCTGTGATAATGCAAATGCATTTTTAGCAAATTGCTAAATAGTGCAAATGCAAACAATATTTAAAGTCCTTGAACCTTCTCATATTTTATACTCTTGATGAAAACTGAACCTCTGCCCAAATCTAAAGACTTATGCAAGATTTTCTGTCTAAATTTCTCTGTCCATCAACTCTGGCAAGGTTTTGTTTACCACTAAAGAAAAATATTCTCACAGCATGATGATGTTTTCTCTATGTTTTACAGTGTTCTGGCTTTAGACGAACTCTAAACAGACTTTCTAATTGCTTTCGTCTGACAATGAATTTTATTTTATCGCTTGTCCACAAACCAGATACACCTTTACTACAGTTGGACCTGCCAACAGCTGGCATCTAACAGATAATAATGGAAATAGAGACGAACACTCATTTATTTTCAATTTGTTGTAGTTAGTAGACATCTCATGGCTTCCTCAATTTGCTCCTGTCATAACGGTGATCTCCAGGTCAAACAATGATAATCCTGGTTTAAAGCTCTGTCAGAAGTGGTCCTCTAGAATGATGGAGGTCTATTGTGAAAGTTTGCATCCTCATCCAGCTGACTGTGCTATCAGACTGACATCAAAGGCTCCTTCTAATTAGTGCTGGCAAACACAAAGCTTTGGCCTGGATGCTGGTTGTGTACTTGCTGTCACAGACAAACATCATCACCGAAGTGAGAACTCTTCACCAGAATATACAGCACATTCTGTCAGCTGCTTGATAAATCAATTCTGTCACTTTTCCTGATTCCACTTAGGCTTGAAATTGAGACTCAACATGGAGTTCTTTTTTCTTTATCTTTCATTTTTTTTTGTCCTGGTTTATTGGTTTTCAACGTGTCTGCCACATGCTGGAAAAGGCTGGTAAAAAAAAAGTACGTTGGTTTTGCTTTTCATTTGTTTATCATTGATTTTAATTTAGACATAATTTAGACTTGGCTTCTGTTTTAGAATACTGGTATGTTGATACAGGAACAATGTTGTTTTCCACATTTACTGTCCAGCATTTTATGCATTATGTTTACAATATGAGCGAGTACAGTGATTTTTACAGTGTAGTTTTATGCCTTAGAACACCATGGTGGAAAAAATGTAACTTAAATGGATAAATAAATGGATTTAGTTTGTCCTCTTTGAAACCCTGTACCAAAAAACATAGTCACATAATTGCCCTTATTTAAGATGGAAAACCATATGGTTGAAAACATGAGAGCCATTTCAATTTCTTTCTATTTATCTTGCACATTTTATCTAGGATTTTTTTAAAAAATATTTTTGATGAAAACATATTCAATCTCAACATTCATTCTTCCTTAACTTCTTATCTGGAAATGTTTGCCCACTTGTGCAAAAGTTTTTGAGCTATATTCAATTGTGTAGACAACTCTTGCTCAGCCCATTGATTTTCACAGATTTAGTTCTGGACTCTGGCTAAGCCACTCCTAATTTTTATTTTTCCTTCACTAAAGTTATTTTCATGTGGATCTGACTGTACTCTTGGATTCACAGTGATGGCAAATAAATAAATAAATACAATCTCTCCTCATTCCCAGCTTTCTAACAACAACTTGAATTCTTTGAGTCAAAATTGATTTTTTTTGGAACTGTACGTTATTGCATCCACTTTACTGAAACCGATTTCACTTGAAAAATATGCAACCTGGGAACATGATGCTGCCTCCCTGATGTCCTACTGTGGGCGTGGTGTTGTTTTGTGGTGTCATTTGTTTTGTTCCAAACATGTCTTTGGTGTAGTTTCATCAAACCATGACACATTCTTTCACAAAACTTTAGCCAGGACAGCATGATTTTTCTTTTCTTTTTCACGACCATCCTCTGTATCATAGACACATTGAGTGTTCAACACATTGTTGTTCCAAGCAGAATGCATCCAATGCTGGTTGGAAATTCCAGCAGTGTAGTTGATCTGTTAGTTTCCTCCCAGATCAGTTTTTCTTTTGTGTTTTCACTACTTTTTCAATACTTTAGGGAACACATGCAATTTTGTGGTTTCATTGTTGTTCCATATTTCCATTCATAACTTGTGTCTGTTTTCATTATGCCAGGGAATATATGGAATATTTATCAGACCTGTTGAACTAAGACAGGAATGGATTTTAATTTGAGAAGCAGGTGATATTAAGCACGCTTACCGTGCTTTTATTCTTCAGCATGCTCAGAAAGAAAGAGTCACAAAAAGCAGAGCAACTTTAGATAAATTAAAGCATGCTGCCCTCTTACACAGTAACCACCCTCTGTGGCTTGTGTATGTTCAAGCATGAAGCTGTGACTTTCATCCCACTGCCTACTACTCTATGTTTTCTGTAACCAAATTCTATCCGCAGCCCTTTAGCCCAATGCAAATTCAAATTCAAACCACACTACTAATGACATTCTTGCAGATTTATTTACTTTTTTTTCTCTAATTCAAGAGTCTTGCTGTGCCTTAGTGGAGACACAGTACATGATAGGCACGCACTTTATAGTGTTGGACCTGATAAGGCACGCTGAAAATCCAATAAAAAAGATGAATCAGCTCAGAAGTTTAACTGTAGATCACTTTAACATGTCAGTAAAACAAGAGATGGTTCAAGGAGATAAACTTTTAGCTACTGGGTCGGCAAGCGCACTCTCATGAAACACAATCTAGAGATCATCCCGTTCCCGTATTTCTTCTTATGTACTTGTGCCCGCAGGGGAAGGTATTTCTTTTGTTATGAAAATCTGCTTTGACATTCATAAAAGATGTGTTCACTGCTCCATTGACAATATGGTTTTGCTGAAAAGACATACTGACAAGGACTCAGTATATACAAAATGTTACATCAGAAGTCTGAGAAGTAACTTAAAGAACACAGAAGTTTGAGCACCAGGTTGACAAAGTAAAAATACGTTTGTGTCCGTAATTTTAGTTGTTTCTATGGTGTAAGTTTTTCTGTGTAACCTAAACAGTCATGGTGATACTCATCTCCTTTTATTAGGTGATTTGATCTGAACTTGTACAGATATTTCAGGAGCTGATAGACAAAGAAAGCCAATGTTGGACAGATTGGTTGTTAAGATTGTGAAAAGGTTTATTTACAGATCTCATCATGGGTCCATACATTGTATGTGCGTATATAGAAATATATACATACACGTGTCAATATTACATACATTTACATTACTTAGTCTTAATCACCACCCACTACACCCCTGCCTCTTGAGGTTGTAATCACAGAAGTTTACATTATTACATTTAAATAAATTCAAGAACTCCAACATTTGTTTGCCTCCTTCTTTTACTGGGGGGCAACAGATGCCATACAAACGTACCAGCAAGAGTTTGAAATTCACAGTATTATTGTCACCTCCCATAAATTTATGTCAAGTATATCAGCACTTAAATCCACAGACTTAATGTGTGAAACAGGTATAAAGATGTGTTTTTTTTTTTTTTTTTAAGTTGTATGTATCCAGTAGATGTCTAGATTAAATCAGACAAAGCAACAAGTGAAATGTATTAAGTTATTCAGATGTTATCATAGCTTTTCTATCATTTCTAATAGTGGCCAGTGATATTGAAAAATGATGCCTCAATGTGATACACTGAAAAAAAACCCCATCTATAACACATTTTTGATAGATCTAACTAAAAAATATGGTCTGGCAACATAAATGTGACTCTTCACTAAGTAATTTATTCGAGTTGTTACTAAATCAAACACATGCAAATATTATTTTTTGAAAGCCAATTAAAGCAAATTTAATGTTTATCCAGTTTAACTGATTTGTTTCAAAATTCTGAAATTTTGAAGTTTCAGAATAGCATACATAAGGCGCTCAGCAATGTTTAAATGTTTTGACTTATGTTTTAAAAAGGATTTCAGTATGATCTCCACAATATTGCATTTATTCAAAGCATAGTCTTTGAATTTATTCAAAGATAATAATAATTGCATAATTTAAATAATTATCCAATTATTTAAATTGGATAGCCATGCCCAATTTAAATATTATTTAGGGTAAATAACATAGCAATTGAGAAAGTGGAAAATATCAAAGCATTTTTTCTTGCTTTAAATCAGGTACAACCAAAAACAACCTTGCAGTTCACTAACTTAAGTGAGACATATTTGTTTGAATTTAGGTTTGTTACATAATTTGTTCTTTCACATTTCTTAATTTTATGTTTGATTTGTTTTCATTTAACAAGACTGACAAAAGTATAAATCACAAAGTATGCCCGTATGGTACGCTGTTTTTGTCCACAGAAGTTAGATTTTCTGAGTTCCCAGTTGCAAAAAAACAAGTCTGCCCAATGAAAATCATAATTTCAACTCAAAAAAGTTGGAAGTAGCTGCATAACCCAGAGTTCTATGACAAATATGGCTGCAGCACAGATACATTTCTGTCAAGCCTGCAAGTTTAAAATCTATGAGCAACTCTGATAGTTTGTCTCTCTTTAAACCACTCAGACTGTGTTTAAGGAGACACAAACAGATCACTCAGTACTGTAAAATCCATATCTCTAAACAAATTCCTTTATGATTTGAACATTTTCAGTGGAGAGAAATGCATAGCTTTGTCTTAGGTTGCCCATAGTTAGCACCAATCCACCTAATAATTTCTACCAGTTTTCCAACTTGCCACTAGAAAACACTCAAGTGTGATGTAATTTCTGTAACAAATGAAACGCACCACTACAGAAAAAATGTTATTTTATTTTATAAAATTGGTTTTAGCTTTTTCGTTTCAAATAAATATTGTTTGGGTTTCATTTGAGCTGGTTTAAATGAATCAAAACAAAACTTTTAATAATGACTAAAAACTTTCCATTAAACCAGTCCAGCTGTATTATAACATATAACAACATAATTGTTGCCAAGTAGTTCTATTGATTAATGCAAGTCAACAAGCTGTTTTGTTGTTTTAGTGCAGTTGTTTGTTCATTTGAAACTCCAGCATTTAGCTTCTATGACCCAAAAAATTCAGTTTAGGAGATCTAGCTACATGCTGGAGCAGAAGCAACCTTGATTTCAAATGAAACACTTGGGTCTTTCACTTATACAAAATGCAGTTATACTGTTTTTTTGAACAAAGTTGCTTTAAAGCAAAGCAAAGCTAGTTGCCTCTGATTATTAAGTGAATGCAAATTAATTCTAGCCTGCACTGCAACTTTTTACTTCACTTTATTTTGTTGCATTGCTCGTGGCATTTTGCTTTGCCATTTAAAGCACTTTGAACTTTGTGTTGTTGCTGAAATGTGCTCATGTCATCTATCATTGCTTGTGGCACAGTGAGACCATTTTGAACATTTGCAGCAGAGCCCGCAGCTGCATATTATCAGAATAAAAATGTGATTGTGATAGATACTGTCTGTGAATTTGAATTCTAATAGAGTTCTCAGTACACACATATAAAACCCACAATTGTTCACAAACCTTTAAAAATTGCAATAATTTACTTGACAAATTAAAAACGTTCTTTGACTCTCTCCAAAGAGTCATAAAGGAGAGTTTAAATGTGGAAGTTTGCTTTGTTGCTTGCTGCATTTGGCAGCATTTTCCTTTGGTGCTCTCTGTGGTAAAGTTCAGCTACGGGTTTTGGCTTTAACTCTCCCGGAGCTATAGGAGTTCCACTTTCTTCGAGCAGTTCAGTTCGCTGTTGACCAGATGCCACATGCGCATGAGGTCCGACGGGAGGAGCTTGTGCACCACTATCATGTTTTTGAAGAAACAGGGCTCCCGGTTCATTTTACTGTTTTTGTTTTTCACTAAGCCAAATGTCTTGAAGGCATTGTGTTTTACGGGCGTGACCTGCAGCGCTTCCAGGCACATACCCAAGAATACATCGTCAATGGGGTAGATCTCAAGGGTCTCTGCGGCCCAGTGAAGCCTCCTCGCAAGCATCCCATGCATGAGAAACCCCCCGCCTCCAGCATATGGAGGATAGTAGGTTTTATTATAAAGAGCATGAGGGATGTAATATTTGTTCTCCTTCTTACGAATGGGCTTAGCCTTGAAAATCACATCCCCTACCAAAAGGTTCTTATCATGGCTGCTGCCTTCTAGGAACTCCAAAATGTTCTCCACACTTACAAAGACGTCATCGTCCCCCTTGAAGACATACTGTACTTTGGGGCAGTAGGTGTGGAACCACTTGAGAAAATGAGTCTCTTTAAGTGTCAGATTGAAGAAACTGTCTAAGAAGTCCCACTGAAGAAGATCTCCATAGATATAGTTTTCATACTCTACAAGTTTTTGATGATTAGCTCTTTCTTCAACATTAGAAGGCGTACCAAGCAGGAACAAGGTTTTTATCCTCTTCCCGTTGACCACCTGCTCCTTACCCCAGGTTTTTCGGATTACTTCTCTGCGGTCATGCTGGGTGGCCACTGATTTAATCACCATGAGCAAATATATGTCCCCTGTGCACTTCTCTGGGTGGTTGAGAATCATAGGGAAAAAATGGCAGTGGCGATAAAGCATGAACTGCTGGAAGTTGTCCTCAAGCGCCCTGAACCAAGCCTGGCTTGACAGGTTGAGGTTGGCGGTGCAGTTGGAGCTGGTCACGTCCCAGTTACCGGGGCTGGTGTTGTCGGTAACTCCGGACTCCTGTGTGGTAGCCCAGGCTTTGACCTTTGGCTTCTGCCTGCCAGCCTTCCAGAAGCTCTTTAACTCCAGGTGCAAGTCAGGTCCCTCCTCTGGAAGGGCTCTGGGTCCATCTGCCTGAGAAGCGTGGATACGTGCCAGCCGCTCCAACTCAAATGGAGTCCCCATGTTGACGCTGCCCCTCTGGACAACGGTGAGCGCCACCACAGCCAGGAAGAACATGGCACACACCCTCTTGTACACTCTCCAGCGATCTCTCTTCATTCTACAAGGAAGTCAAAAATCACTGACGTTAGGATTTGTTAACAGCATTGAATAGTACATTTTGATTTGAAATGAGAGGATCAAACTTTTTTATGTCTGTGTAGATTTCAATGCCTTGCTTAAATACCAATTTTTTCACTTTAAAACCACAAAAACCCATCCACTCATGATCTTTACCTACGTATTCATGAAAGGTTGCAGTGGTTGCCTCAGGACACCTTGGACCTGGTGCCAATCACAGAGCTACACAGAGACAAGCAGACCAAATAACCACACACACTATACCTAAAGGTAATTTAGAGAGACTAATTCCTCACTAGATGCATGGAGTGAAAATGCAAACTCAAACTCCTTACAAAAGGCCCCAGTTCAGGGTTCAAACCCAGGACCTTCTTTTTACCAGACAACAAGGCTGTACCACCATGAACTCAAACGATAAGCTCCTGTGTATCTATTTATTTATTTCCAATTTTATAATAGACCAGCAGTAAGGATAATTGTCAGATACGTACATTTATATATGGTTATCAAAAATTTTTACTAAGAAAAAAACAGAATACTGTGGCATGAAGATTTGTTCAACCAAATTAATCTAATCTATCTGGATACAATTCGATGCAAATAATTCTCCCCAGATCAGTAAATCCATTCATGTGTGATTTAATCTCAGTATAAACAAGCTGTTCTGTGAAAACTTAAGAGGTTTGTGAGGGAACATCAACTACTATCACATAATGAAAACAAAGGAACATGCTGGACAGGTCAGGGATAAAGATGTGGGGCTGTTTAACAGAGACAGTCATACAAGCAATATCATAAGCCTTGAACATCTCACAGAGCACTGTTCAATCCGACATGTAAAATGCAGTAAGACTGGCAAAAATACAAAACTACCTAAAATGAAAGGTGTGGCAATAAGATTAGTCGGAGAAGCAACCAAGAGGCCTGTGGTAACTCTGGAGAAGCTGCAGAGATTCAGGACTCAGGTGGGAGAATATGTTGACAGGACAACTGTTATTTTTGCACTCCCCAAATCTGGCCTTTATGAAAGATCAAGACGAAGAAGAGAAGGCAATGTTGAAAAAGACCAAGAGACATTTCATTTGCAGGCCAGGAAAGAGACCTGGGCGCATTAAAGGAATACATTTGAGCAAATTATATCCACGTAGAAGAAAAACTCAAAAGTTCAGATCAAACTGAATCTGTTGTAAGACTTAAAAGGTTTGTCGATATTTTTCAGATCTACAAACCATTTATTTACTTCTTAAAGAAAATTGAGTTTTGTGGTTGTAATGTGACAAAGTTCAAATACTTATGCAAGGCATTGACAGCTTGAAAATAAAACATATTATGAGTCTCCGGTTTATTTGCAATAAATGTTTAACGCCAAAAAAGTTAGACAATAATATGCAAAGAAAAAATTAGGAGTATATTTCTGTAATAAGTCAACAAATACAACAAAACCCTAAATAAGGTGCACTTGATCAAAATCAGAACAAAAACAGAGAGAAGCAAACAATGACATGTTTAAGAACGCATTCTGTTTTACATATTTCCTCCCCTTTCGAACAATAACAACTAAGATTACCACAGTTTTTATAATCAGACCATATTATAGGTCTTCTGGAAGAACATGTGGAATGTGCTTCAGATTCTCACATTTCCAAAATGTCATCCAGGGGTCCCTCTATTCACGACCACTGAGACAGTGGGCCCCCTTACCTTTGAGAGACCCCTTCTGCTCCCTGCCTCTTAACCAGTTGCTGAATGTCAGCTCGGAAGAAAAAAAACAAACAAACAAACAAACAAACAAAAAAAAGCATAAAAAGAAAAACAAAACATAAAATCCGAGAAAAGTAGGAAGGCTGTATCTTTGTATCTGATGCTTTTTTTCCTAATGAAAGTATCTTGAAACAACAAACCAGGCGTGACTTTTTGACATTGCAAGGAAGAGGAAATTAAAATACTTTAAAATAGATTTAATGATAATTACAGATATTTAAAATTCATTCTTTAATCAAATAAAGAATGTTGAACACCTTTTCATACGTCATATGTGCCTTGTTAAATAGTTTTTAGTTTGATTTAACTAACGATGAGCTGTCCCAGTTTCATCTGAATGATTTCCTCAAAATATGGGTTGAATAATCATTTACATATTTTACACAACGTCATGTAACGGTGACTCTAAGCGAGTGAATTGACTGCTTTAACGCCAACATCATCACGGAAAAGGGGGAACAACTTACCTGTTCTGTCTCCTGCTTCAGACGATGAGATCGCTCTACCAACCGAGCAGATATTGACTATTTCTTAAAATACGAGAGGTTCGTGCGAATTGGTTCTGATTAAGGCGGCAACCGCAGAGAAAACAGACGTGCCACGCGAAGCCGTTCCTCTGTTCCTCTGCGCTCTGATGTCTGCGCACCGTTGCGCGGTCACAGCTCAGGAGCGCAGCGCAGCGCAGCTTTTAAAGGCTCTGCTCCGAGCGCGTCAAACAGGATGTGGAAAGTGAATGGACAGTATAGCCACGCAAGCAAGGCAGTCAATCAAAAGTCATGCGAAAGCCAAACATTCAGTATCTCGTTTGTACCGTTTAGATAACCAGAGAAGGATCAGCACTAACTAACAACCAGGAACTTAAACAGAGCCTTTTAAACACTATGGATCTTGATAAATGTATGGTCGACGCTATATGAAAATCTAAGCAGGTGGTTATTGGTGTGGCTCAAAGAGATGCATAATAATTAGTCACATTTACTCTGTCTGTCTGATGCATTTATTTATTTGCTTGTTTTTCTTGTTGAATGATCTGCATAGCAATAGTGTAACAGTAGAAAGGGTAACATTCATGCAAGAGTAGGAGGTCAGAAACATTCTTGTATGAAATAATGCCAGATATTTCATTGAAAATCTTCCCTCCTTTAGCACATTGGTGTTTTAGAACAGTTTCGAGGGAATCATAAATACAATCTCAACAGAGTAAATCAGCGCCTTGTTACCACTGTTGTGCTACCAGGCAATCAGACACTTTTATTATCATTACTCTGGCTTTACACCATTTACGTTTACTTCTGCTGTTGTTAGTACCACTACATGTCAGAGAGATGACAATGTGTTAAACCTTAGGGGACAAAACTGGCTGAACGTTGTATGGGGTTTTTTTTACAGCAAATTTCCCAGTCAGGCTCATTGTCTGTCAGCCACAGCACCATGAAGGTCACTGGTACATTATCAATATTTGATCTTTACTTAGTGAACCAACAGTGGATTCCAGAGTTCACATTTTCGACATGCAGATTTGTTGAGAAAACAGGAGCAGTTAACATTTTTGCTGCAGTGAAAAAACAACTTTCGTGAGTCTCACTGGACTAACCTGATGGTAGCAGAGGCAATCAGAGCTGAGCCAGGGGCAAAGCAAACACTCAGCCTTTAAACCATTGAACTGCTGTCATGTAGACATTGTGTCTTTACAACTAGCCCTCTACATTTTTATGCTGTCCTGTGAAATTTCAAGCGCTCTTGGGGACTCCAGGCCAACAGCGGTTCTAAGCAGCTGCTGCATATACTCTTATGGTTGGAGACAAATCTGTAAGTAATCTATGCCAAAAAATGCCAGTTTTTTTTTTTTTGCACTAGAACAGCTAATCGTGATCATGCCTGCCACTTTTAGAGCTTATGTCTGTATATCAGAATGTTTTATTTAGAAACAATTGACAATATCAATAAATGGCATATTTTGATTTTAGTCATTCAAGACAGCTCATTATCTGCTTATGGTATTTGGTTTTCCATTTTAAAGTGTCTTCATTCAAAAGAATTATTTGAGTGGAAATAATTCAGCTGCGTTCGATAACTAAGTGTCTCTCCATCTTTTTGTAGTTTCGGGGAGGAACATTAAAAACTCCCTCTGCTTCAAAACAGATTTTTTTTCAGTCTAACAACAGCTGTGATTCAAAATCTCTCCTTCCTCTCCATCTCTCTCCATTTCCTGAATCCAACCAGCCATCCTTCTCAGGGCCATGTGCATCCTGTTGCCTGCTGGTGATGTTTTTTCCCGTTTTGATTTTTTTTTTTCCACTTCTCTGCAGCTTTGCGTCTGTTCAGAAGAGTGAAGTGGTGATGGATATTAGGGTTCCTTGTACTTCCTTAGCTGATCAGAAAAAATTAGTCACTGAAGACAAACAAAGGCATCAGCCAATAAGAACAGGGAGGGATTTGTTGCAACATGACCCTTCCCAAGGATGGGTCAGAATCACTCTCAGAGTACTAGCTGATTGAAGCTCAACTCTTTTGACCATCTCCTTCTCCCGCTGGTGTATTCAGGGATGAGGCGTTAAGGTTATCACATGTGGAGGAAGACTTCTTCATACGGTCTTACAGACTCTGGTCCACAGAAAACTATCTGAATATCAGATTAACAAAGGTCACATTTGAATTTCAGCTCAAATTCTGCGACATTCAGCTCAAATTTGTAAAGACAGTGCTTTTAACATAATAAAGATTGCATTTCTGAATGCAAAACCTCTAGCAGAATTTTATTTTTTTACTTTAATTATTTTATTTCCAGAAGGTGTTCTGTGTAATTACAAGGAAAAAGAGGAGTTTATAACATGCTCTTGCAAGATTATCGTGGAAACTTTAGTTTTTTTGACTATGCTGACACTGGTTTTTGAATGTTCACTTCCAAAGTTTGAAACATTTCCAATAAGGTGATTAAAGTCAGACCTATTTTGCTTTAGATCACACTGTGTCCTGATTAAAATTACTCCTGTACTGGAAAAATTGATCAGAAGATGAGTTATGAATTATATATTTTCATGTACTTTTCATCTAGTTTTAATCTCAGCCACCCAATCTGGTGTCCACCTGTCAGGAATATTTTACAACTGAGATCATGAGTCAATTTCAAAGCAGTTAGTGATTGAAAACCCGTTTTCACAGCTAGTAAACCTTGATCTTCTGCCAAATGATTGGCTGTAAGCAGGAAACAGAAACTTAAGTGGTGGATTTTTTTTTCAGCACATTAAGTTGCATAACGTTCATTGTAAATTGTCCATGTTGGGACTCCTTGTTAGTCAAGCTTTTGTTCTTGAATGTGGAGGTCCATTTGACAAACAATGTCAAATGGACCTTGAACAGTTATTTTATTTATTTATTTTATTGGGATAAAGGCTCCTCAGAAATGTTTCTCTCTCTTTTCTATTTATCTCTCTCTCATTTATATTTGTGTCATTCTTATATATATGGGTTTTTATGCGCAACTTGGGTATTTGCCATTAATTGTACTTCCAGTGTTGTAGTTATCTTGCTGCACTGAGTAAATCCAGCAGTGAAGGATGTGGGTGAAAAACAAATATGGTAACACCCAAGAATCTTGCTGCAAGTATTTTCTCAAACGTATACCTGTAAAATGCCCCCTGTGGTTCTATAGGCAACTTCAAGCAATGGCCTCTGGGTAAATTTGTTCTTCTTCAAATTCCGAGCCCAATTTTGTTCTCATGTGTTGCTATTTTGTCCCTTTTCTATTTTTTTTTGGTAAAACATACCTATGTACTTAGCCATGGTGAATCAGTGCATCTTTGTAGTTAATTGTTGGTATTAGGGTGAAATGTGAGACTTTGATAATCAAACTAAAATGACTCCAGGTGACCTCCTCTTAGTAAAGAATACTTATTGGTTAACCATAACCTAATTATTGTAAAGTAACCTGAGTACAGTGAACCCCCGATATTTGCAGGGATTAGGGATTACGTCCGCCCACAAATAGCTGTAATCGGTGAATAATTGAGATCCCGTGTAAAATTGTTGAGAACTCCCAATTTGAATAAACAAACACTACATTTGTCTTAATATACACAAACAATTACAGCCGCAGAAGCGAACTGATTTTCTTATTTGCACTCCTAGAAGTACCGCAAATCAAAACCAAGGAACATAAATGCCGATCTTGGAACACCAGCCAAAAGTGTGTCAAGTAGCATTGTGCTTTTATGCTCTGTGAAAAGGCAGCTTTTCAGCAAAAAATAGGAGTCATGTTTCACAGAATAATTCCATAATAGGTGAGTCCACAAATGCTGAATTGTGAATAGGCAAAGGTTAACTGCAGATCATAGCAACTTTCTTAAATGATTGGTTTTCACAGCAGTTATGAAAGATCCCAAATGTGGCAACGTCAGTGCAACATATCTTCTAGCAGACAATGGGTGAAATAACCAGCACCAGTACACACTGAAGGTCAAGTATGAGTTGGAGGTTAGTGTGACCTCCAAGAAATTTGACGAAATGGTTCTCAATGGGAAAAAATCTGGAGTGTTTCCTGTAGGTCAATCTCTGTAACAGGCAGAGCAGGACTGATATTTTGGTTTGTTGTTAATAACTGATTGTAGGAAGATGTGGGAGGTGGACAGATTGACCGGTGCCTCCACTGCAGGAATTTGGAGATATTCCAGTCTGTTGTGGTGATTGGATCTCTTCTCTACAATAAGCAGAAATGGATTATGATCACCCAAAATTAGCAGGAGAATGCTGGTGGGGAAAAATATCTGCGTTTCCCTTTTAGTAACCTCGGTGACCTGATCTTAGAAAAAAGGAAAGAGAAGGAAAGAGGGAGACGTGGAGGTAGGGATGGACAGATGGTGACTTCACAATTATGGGAACTCATGAAAATGTTCAAACTCATTTAGGCTCAAATGAAACCTGCTTTTATTTCTCGTTTAAAATGATACAGTTTCTCTTACAGTGATTCATTAAACAGAAATAATTTTGAACTTATTTTCAAGTGTACTAATGACTTCCAAAGCAAGCTAACATAAGCTTGGGTCCTCAAGCTGACATGGCTTTCATTTGAAAGTTTGTGAGGAGGATCCAGTGGTCAGGGATGTAAAAAGTGAATGCCAAGCAGCTGTAAACTAGAGGCTGTTTGATGAGTGGCTCCTTTGACCTTTAGTGCTGCAGTGCACCCAAGAAGTTATGAGCTTGCACACTAAATGAAACTCAGCATGTCCTAAAAAAAAGATGTGCCTGTATAACAAAGCGCAGCTGTGACGGCCGACTCTGATTCATCTGTTTGGACAAAAGGAAACAGGAAGTTTGAAAGACACAGACTCTGGAAGGTGCCTCTTCTTTGTTGCCGTCACATTTTATCAGCAGTGCATAGGCCTGTCCACTGATAAACATGACTGCAATCATTGTGGATGGTGCATGTAGGGCTCCTTAGTGAAGGATGTTCCTACTTTACAAGAATAGTTTCTGCAGTTCTGAAAGGAGAAAAAAAAAAGTCTACCTTAAAATCCATACACGTTTTATTTTTTTTACTTCAACTAACTTGAAATGTTTCTATCTGTAAACTCCTTCCTAATCTGCATCTGCACTTTTATTTAGAGAGAAAATAATTGTTCCCTCTGTCCCACACTTTGAGCTCAAGGGTTTCAGCATGGCTTGAGCTCAGGGTTAAAACCCACAGCCACCTGGCAGCAAGTGCGTCAGTCTGTCATGTGTAGCCTGTTTCCTCACATTGTGCTGGCCCTCACAGCCTGCATCTATTATGTTAGCTGTTGAACATGTCACCTCTCAGGGGGACAGCAGACGTGACCTACCAAAGCACGACAGCCTGGGTGTTTTTCATCCTCCATATTTGACAGCGCTAATATGTCGGTTTAGGTTTTAGTGAAAGAGACAGAACTTGAGAAACATACTTGCTTTTCAAATTGGAAAAGGAAACATTTGGTCTGTGCTTCTTAAAGTGTGGTATAAGTACAGTAGTGTGGACTAAATGAAAATGTCTTTTTTCAAGACAGCGCATGATGCAAACTCATTAGGGATTTCAAAGTGAAACTACTGCCATTACATTGGCAGCGGTCTATTTTTTTTCAAAACCCTGTGGTCAATAAAATGGACGAGAGTGCCGATGGCCACAGAATGGATAAACTCTCCATATGCTAACAACAAACAGAGTAAAAAGAGTGAAGTAAAATATTTTTTGAAGTATCTCAGATCTTTATTCAGTTGTGAGGTGGAGAAAACCAAGACCACAGGATGCGGTTGCTTTCCTAGCAACAAAAGGCAAGCTGCACCATTTAATGAAGCATTAAATTTTGCATTAGGAAACTTCATATCATGCAAGCTGTTAAAAGACAAAAGCTGGTTAATTATGAACAGGTACTATTGTGGAACGATCCTGAAGAAAATTGTCAAACCAATCAAAAATGTGAAGTTTATTAATCCAGTCTAAGAATTGAGATATATATATATGTTTATCAAGGGCATGAACATTTACAAGCTAAAAACAACATTTAGAGGATGTATTGGGTCTCTAAATTGATGCATATTAGAATATTTAAACCAAATGGACCCTTTATGTTTCTTATTCAGAGTGAGCAAAAGTGGATCCATGAAAATGAAGTGTTTAATTTTTATCACACGTATCACATCTAAAATAAAACACCAGAAGAACATATCATGCCAACATGAAACTAACACATTGGATCATATCCAACCATCAATATGAGATTAGTAAAAAAATAAACAAAAATTGGGAAAGGGACGAAGTGCAGCAGGAAGCAGATAAGGTATCTCACAGTAATGACTAATGCACCTTGAAGAACTAAAAATAATGAATAAGGTTAATGTTTAAAATGCATAAATATATACTTTATTGTACCCAAAGGAAAAAATTTTATCTTGGAAATTGTACACTACACAAAGCTACTTTCACAATTGAATAGAGTGCAAAGAATAAAGGTCATGCGACCACAACAATAAAATCATAAAAACATATTGCTCAATAAAACCACATATGGTCATGTCTTCAGAGGTGGACAAAGTTACAAGTTTATGAAAAGTTGTAATTTTATAATGAAAAACATAATAACTATGCAACATATGGGTAATATTAAAATTCAGTTTTAATATTTATATGCAGAAGATTCTGGAATCTCTGATCAGGGTTAAAACCCACAGCCAACATTTTTATTTTAACCATCAATATCATTCATCGTTTCTTTTTTGGTAGCATCTGATTATTTATCAACAAAAAAATAATGTATAAATAAAACTGACTTGGAGTCTAAAAAAAGCTTAAATAAATAAACTTCCTTAACTTAACAGCAACTGTAGCCAGCAAGTCAAACTGCAAAGACAAAGAAGCAAGTCAGGTTACCAAATTTATTTAAAACCACTGTCAAATTGCATTGCATCAGAAACATAGCACTGAACATAAATATAGACATTAACATACACAAAATAGTGCAGGAGAACAATGTAAAGAATGCTGAATTTAAGAAAATCACAAATATTCAAGTCATTTTTCCAAAAACATCATATTGAAAGTTTTAAACACAATTTAAACACTCAGGCAATCAGAGAAAAGTCAAACTACAATATGTGCATCAGCGAGTCAGATGAAAGGACGTCACTGCTTTTGTACAAGGTGAATTTTGTTCCTTATAATTTTAAGCATTATGTATTTTTTAATGCTGGATACTTAGAATAATTTAAACCTGATAAAAAATCTGAGTATTACTGACATACTGCTTTTTGTCTTACTCTAAATCCTGACATAGACCAAGTCTGATTCATGCATTAAGATCAGAAAAAATGAGTCCTTCATTCAATACTAAATAAATTAATACTGTTATTAAGAAACAATAGAAAAAATCCTCCAACAAACAAAGAAACATCCCCATGACATAAAACCATAATACATTTATAAAAAATAATGAGGTTATTTTGTCAATCACAGTTTTAAAGACTTCAAAAAGGTGTTTTACTTTGAAACATTTATTTCAAAGTAAATAAGTATTTCAGAGAAAACTCCGCCCCCTCGTTTGATTAAGAACATTAGCCTGAAATAAAAACAAAGAAAAATACGCAAAGTCGCTTTACAAACTGCAGGTGTCGCAAAATAAAACACAATTATGAAATAAGAAATGAAATAAAATCGTAAATAAATCATGAAATTAATAAACACTGATTGACAAAGTAACCATTCCTCTCCCCTCTCCCCCCAAAAAGCAATATGGAGTATTTATTCAGTATTTATTAATAACAGTATTTATTGTTTTTATACGTATTTAAGTTTGAATGAAATGACTCTTCTTACCATCTCCAAAAAGAAAAAAACAAGTGGAAAAGATAACCCAGACTCTACAATAATTTATTTTCAGTGGTTCCAAATATTAATGCTACTGGGCTGAACTGAAATGCAAACTATGTGTTATTCCACTGCAAAATAAGAAACACACACAAAGAAATTCAGAGACTTCTTGATTCACTGAGTTGCTTCGCTGGTGGTTGTGATTATTGTCTGCCATCATATCATGTTGCCAAAGCGGTGTGTGCTGAAACGGGGGAGTGTGTGTGTTTCAGAGCCACAATCCTACACATTGTTTCACACACTCCTCTGCCTCCTCTCATTGCTGCCGTTGATCCCTACCCGCCTCTGTTGGCTCGACCCCGATCGCAACCTGGGGGGATGATGTTACAGGAAGCCCAACGTTCCTGGACAGATAGCGCTTCCCCCCCATGGTGACAGCTCTCTCTTCACCTCCTCTTTGAGTGCCTGTCTGGAGAAGGAGCAAGAGGAGAAGAGGATGCACGGATGGTTGGTGCAATGTCAATCCAATCAGTTTTCTGGAGAATCACACATATGTTTAAATATAACATTTACCAAGGTTCATATTGAAGAAGAAAAAAACATTGAAGTATAAATGTAAATGGTTTTTCCCCGTCAGAAAGTTCTAGATTATTAATGAAGTTACTCAACTTATTGAAGAACACAGCTACAAATGTAAAAATGCAATAACTAAAACACTTAAAACAGTGGCAAACAAGTAGGGGGATCCAAGTTTATCTTGCCAATACATACAGTAAGGAGGATTTAACTAAGTTAAAAAAAATAAATAAATAAAATTTATGAAAATGCAAAAGCATCATTTAAGAGTTTTACTAAAGATGCACAGAGAAACTGGCTGAAGACCTGAACTTTAAGAGCAATATCCAGCTTGATACAGGCCTGGGCTGGTGTAATAGACCAGAGTGTGAATGTGTGTGTGAATAGTGTGAAGTGTTTTTTGGTTACTAGATAAAGCACCATACAGGTACAGGAAATTTACCATTTAATCATTCACTAAGTTCAGAAACATAAAATCCAATATATATATATATTTTTACTTTTCAATAGCAGCTAGTAAAAACACACACCGAAGAGCATTTCTTTAATGTCTTGCCAATGTGAATTTTATATGCCTCATTATGGGAATAGAGAGAATGCTTCCAAGCAATCTGGGAGGAAACAAGATCTGATGTCAGAGAAAACTACCATAAAGACGACAGAAATGAACAGTTTTAACAAAAACACATGCACTTCCTCTTCTTTATTTGTTTGCATGGCAACGGTAGCGGAGTCTGTCACCATTTTTAGTCAGCATTGCCAACCTGTCTCAACTTGGATAATGATCTCAGTAAGAAGAGAGGACAGAGGCTCTCCTTCCTTGTTTGCACTGCCTGAGTGTCGGGCCCGCTCGGAAACACAAATACTTCCTCCATTTCTCCTTTGGCAAGCAAGTGAATCAGTCAGTCATTGCTAAAATGCATACAAAAGGTGGGCTAACAGAACACCTCGCCACTGTGTGTGGTTTGGTGTTCCATCCCTGCAGTGAGGCCAGAGTTGAAAGAGGCGACATTTAAATGAATTTAAACAGGTTTGCTGAACATGAGAGCTCCAGAGGATTCACAGCAAAACTGAACAAAACTTCAGTTTTTTTTTTTTTGCCAGTGGCCTGTGTGCCTGCAATGATTACAGAAAGTGATTTCCTCTTGAGACAATAACATGTCAGACACTTGCCAGACCTCAAAAGTGCAACACACTCAAAGGAGGATGTGGTGGCTTTGAGTGAACATTAGGTGCAATTACAAGCTTCATGGTAAGAGTCAGCTGGCAGAAGAGCCCGAGGTAATCGTTTATGAAATGCAGTTAAGATGCATGGAAGCAGGGAAAGATGCTATCGCCACGGCTTAAGAGCACCAGATCCTCTCTGCTGTGACTCAAGTTCTTTATGTGAGATATGACATGAAAAGCTAATAAAGCCAATTGGGCTGGACAGAGTATTGACTTTGCTCGTTTAATATAAACTTAACCCAGTTTGATTTTCCCATTTGCTTATTTAAGAAAAAAATTATAATGATAGACAGTTACTGTATTGTTGTGATAAAACTTAAAAGAAACGTCTGGGATAACAAGAAAAAAATTCTTAATTTTTATGACAGCCGTATATAAAAATTTTAAAAACACGAATAAAATAGATTAAAATGAATAACAAACATAACATTTTGGTCTGAATTAAACTAAATGAAGAAATTCTTGATAGATGATCATTAGGACATGATAATATAACAACAATAATAATGCTAAAGTTATTGTTATTATTCACAACAAAACTTTACACGCTACTTATGATTTGCTTATGTGTGATTATTATGAGAGTACTTGTCATGCTAAACTACTATTTTCTATAACTTGACCGTTTCGTCTTGACACAGCAAAACTCGGAGACATGTTTAACAAAAGACTACGTATAAGGTGTCAAAAAAATGAAACTCAGGATTTTGTAATAGAGTAAAAACTGTGTAACTGAAGACATGCATGACAAAGAAAACGGAGAAAACAGGGAAACTGGGGCATGACTCAGAATTTTTTTACAGTAATTACGACTTTTGTAGTGTTGGCTGAATAGTATTGAGATGAGAGCCGAAGCAGGTTGTTACAGTAAAAGTCATTTGTGAAGAGCAGTGAAAGACACGCAAGTGTGTGGTGTGAGGCAGGAAGGAGGGGGCGAAGAGAGGGAAGACTGTCAGAATGAGACTGTGCCAGGAAGTTCAAACATTGGGGGGTGAAAGAACAAAAGACCACATCTGAAGCTATGCTTATACAGTGCAGTTACCAGGCAGAGCTAGGTATTTATGGTTTAATTCTAACCGAATGTCAGAACTGGACAGGCATTTTACATGTCCACTAGGCATCGTGTTTGTATGCAAAAATCTTTTTTGGAGGGGATTAAATAAAACTTTGTCATGTCAAAACATTTTCAAAACTATTGTGTATTAAACAGAGAATTCTAATCTGTATAGCTGAACAATCTTGACCATTGTATTATTATAAGGACTCGATTTGTCAAAGAAATGAATTCCTTGTTATTATTGGTTTAGGTTAGTTTGCCACAACAATCATTTCTAGAGTTGTATGAAAAGAGTTTGAGTTCTCCAACATATTTTTCAAAGACAGTTCAAAATACTTGCTACAAAATGGGCAAGAGACTCATGTGAGAATATGAAGCTTGCCTATGTCTGTTAAATTGGAGTAGAATATAGTCTAGAATTAGTTTTAAAGGCACTGAACCTCCAATCATGACTTGATTTCGCTCAAACGTAGGACAAGTCATTAACTGGGGTAGGCATGAAAACACATGGCTAATTAACACTAACTCTGTCTGGTCTTGATTTTCACCCATAACTTATGCTTACTTCCACTCCCTCCTCCTCCGGTGGAGCTGGCAGGCCGGCTGCCCTGCTGGGGCTCCGACTGGGAGAACCGGGGTGCCAGAGCAAGTTCACGACTCCGGTGATCACTAATGGGGGGATCAGGTGTCCGGGGGATCTTGGAGGAGCTCACAAATCCAAGGATGTAGGTGTCACTGATGGTCAGAGAACAAAAAGAATTTCAGAGTTTTGCAGTTGTTAAAAAAAATATCCAGAAACAAAAAATCCCAACCAATACTGTTAGAATAATTATGTTTTCTTGTTCTTACATAAGTAGTTACCAGTTTGTTCTTCATGTAAAGGTTAGTTTAGTTTTTTCTTACCCCAGTGAGAAAAGAAATTTGCTAAAGTGTGTAACCTTTCTTTGTTTTTGCGGCTGTTCTTAGGACAACTTCTGAGATACTTCTCAGTCGTAAAACTGGGTTGCATCCTGTACTGCCCCCATTCCTTATCAGGAGAGCCCCCCTTTCTTTCCTTCAATAAAAGACCAGTTCTGAAGACAAAGGGCAGAACACATGGGAGAGCTGCTGGAAGAAGTAGCTCTTCTGTGTCTTCTCCTTCTGCAGAAGAATTGATTAAAATTAACGTTGTCTGTGGTTCTCTTTTTATGTAGGTTGAGAAAATACCTATCAAATACTGTCAGTTATTATGGAACCAGATCCGCAAGTAAAATATTTCTGACAAATAAATGACTTTGGACATAACCACATCAGGGTGATTTGCCAGTAAAGTTTTTGAACCTATTATTTTCCCAATAATTTAAGAGAGGTACAAAGTTCTTAGCTGGATAACGCTGATATGTAGGTAACATGACAACACAATTGTCCTGTAAATTATCAGGTTTGCTTGGCCGTTTCACTGGCCAAGCAAACCCATTATTACCAACAGAGCTACGAAATCAAGAAACTGCAAAAATAGAACATTGTTGATAAGATGAGGTAGGTCAGGCTTTTAAAAAAAAATCAATAATCAAGATCAAAACTGCAATCGGTGCAAACCTACTGATGTTAACCTTGGCGTCATGAGTAAAAACACTGAAGTGTGAAACAAATGTCACATTTTAAGAAATTAAATGGGGATAAATAGTTTTCACAGTACTGCAAAACAATCAATTGAAAATTTCTGTGTACCAATACTATAAACAAACACAAATACTTTAAGTATTTTTAATGTTGTTGTATTGGTGAAATGGGCTGTAAAAAGTAATACCGTACAAGCTGTAGCTTTAGCACAAAAATGATTCACTAAATAATTCAAGAACAAAATTTGAAATACTTTGTTCTCGGGCATATAATGTCAAAACATATCCAGAACAACCAGTGTCGTTTGGTTCAAAGATGAGCCTTTATCCTTGATGAGAATTTTATGCATCATAAGACATAGCCAGAGTCAAATTTAAGCTCATGTGCGGGGACACAAAGAAAAGAAATCAGGACTGTATCCCATATCAACTTTGGACAAGTTCTTGACCTTAATATTTAAAAGTCTCAATTTCAGTCAATAGGCTCAGTTTCTGGTGATACTCCACTGATGCCTGGAGAGACTTGATAATCTATATAAGCAGTGCAATGATACTCAGGATACAGGATGTTGTAGAATATTTTTTCACTGAAAAACAGGATTTAGTTCTGGTACGTTTACATGCATCTGCTGCTTTCATTCAAGGAACATCAGAGATTATTGCTTGAAGACTCAGTTTAAAAGTTTGTTTTTTTCCCCCCAAGTATTTATGTCACAATAAAACAAACATAAATGAACAGGTGTAAATAAAAACAAACATATAGTATATATTCATTATACAACATATAGTAGACATATTTTGCATGTCAGAAACCCCATTTTTAATTGTTTTTTGAGATGGATGTTTAAAACACTTATTCTTACTATATAAAAAAAATACACTGCTGAAGCATTAAAAAAAATCTACAATGCACCGAAATTTATCTTTTTTTAGTTTGCATTGATATTTATTTTGCTGCCAAGTTGTGTAGCAACATATATGAGTAAAAAAAACCCCCAAAAACTCATATCTTGATGCTGAAGCACCACTCATCCACTTCTAGTGTCAAATCTGGTTTTACCTCGAAGATGTGCCACAAATCATCTTTAGGCAGGTGAAAATCCTGTGAGATTTTAATGTTAATGTCTCACAGGATTTTCAGGTGAAAATCCTGTGAGATTTTCACCTGCCTAACAGGTGTAAAGAATACATCCTGATAACCTTTGAATGAGCACTGAGTGGGAATGAAATGAAATGTTATCGGAATGAATAAACAACCCCTCTGCATCCAGTTACATAACGCTCTCATACTTAATCGGGCTGTAGACAAATGGCTAACATCCTGTGCAGAAATCCTATACCATGTCTAACAGATGGATTTCATGCTTGTTTCTCCTCTCGATAATCACACTGCCGCCAACCGCCCAGATATGATCTGCCAGAGCCGCCTATTGTGTGACATGATCGTATCTCTGAATATAGGTGGAGGTGCAATACTTGCCATCTGCACAGCAGCGACATAGAAGAGGGACAGATGTAGCATTGATTTTCTAGTGGCCAGTAAAATCGACCGTTAGAGGAAGAAATGGAAACAGTGTTTTCCCAAAGTGCCACCTGATGCATGTCAATACATCTAAAGGACTATTTTAACATGATAGGGACAAATGTGTTTATTGGTGAGAAAATAACATAAAATAGGTACTGGCTTATCTGGCACTTGCCAAATAGCTGTGTTGCTAAGGCTCTATTCTTCCCAACATGAATGCCTGTTTCATCTCAGCATAAAAGACTTGTCATCCAGGCTAATAAAATTAGGCTGTTCTGTTTAACCTTAGCCAGGCTGTATTGTGGAGGTGTTTTACGTTCCTGGGGTATGTGGGAAGAGGGGCTTCCTGGGACTCATTACTCATTACTCAGTATTTGGGAGTCAAGTTCCTCTGGGATTTAGAGGAGGGAAGAAACATGGGAGGTTGGACTGAATGGGTCCCTTTGTGGCTGCAGCTTGTTTAAACGCATGTCACAGTCTCACACCGGCTTGGCAGTGCTGACTCACCCATCGGTGTCTGGCACTGTTGCCAACCCTGTCTGCAGACGCACACCTTTCGAAGCACATGCCACGGCATACTGCAGACGTAAAGCAAACCTAGCAGCAGACATCAGTTACAACTGAGTTGTGCTTGTGTAAATTCAGTAGCAGTGGTATGTGTGTGATATATTTGCATCTCAACATTTTGATGCTTTTTATATTAAATCTTTTGAACTGGCTAAAAAAAAACCTGGCTTAAGATGTTGATTCAATTGTGTACACATACTGATTGGTATTTGGTTTAAGTAATGCATTTGTATGAGCAACACCAGTCCTCTGCATCTCTATAAATCACCTGCATTATTCTCACATAATAAAGCATAAAAAAAAAACATTTATATCAGGAATGTCAATGAATGTGCAGGGTGCTATAATTGTTTGTAACTTCTTGTGAGCTTATTGACAGACTTACTGTATGCTAGCAATGATACAAAACAAAAGTGATGCAATGTTAGTTATAATGGAGCAAAGGAAGATGCATAAGTCTGCAGGGTTGTAAACTTTGGGTATCTTTTACCTGACGGCGTGGCCATTGTGCCTCCCCTGGGACTGTCCTTTCCTGTCTTGATCTTCATATGTCCGGTCTAACTGTGAATCCTGGTAGAACCGCCCGCATTCTGAGTCTGAACATTGTGAGACAAGACAAAGGAAGAGATCAATAAAGCTCTTACTGGAATTTGATCACACATCTGTCTTTTTTTATTTTGAGTCAAACATTTGCTATTAACCAGTAATCTCAAACTACAGTCCTTGAGGGCTGCAATTTTCAGATGCGCCCCTTGCCAAGTGACACTTTAAAACTGCGTCACTAGCATATAGAGCTCTGCTAATGAGTCATATTGGAGCCAGGTGTGCTGTAGCAGAGAGACATCTAAAACTTGCAGGACATCAGCCCTTGAGGACTGGAGTTTGAGACCACTGGTATAAACAAACAAACAAACAAGCAAAAAAAAAAAAAAGACAGTCTAGAATTGAAGTTTTCCAAACAACAGAGAAAAATTTGATTCTTGGCAGTTACTTTATCTTCCTGAAAGAAGAAAAAAAAGTTCATAAAGCCTTTGGTGCTTGGGTTGCCGATAAATATCCCTGAAGAAGAAGTTTCGAGGAATTTGCTGCAACTTCCTCGTCTGGAAGTGCCTCATGTTCCCCAAAGACATCTGGCATCACTTCAAATAAATCTGATACGATAGAAGGGAAATTAGATCTCTCCTCAAAATACAGAAAGATTCAGTGACTAAAAACATGTGATGAACACATGTCACATTTTGTGGCATGTGTTCATCAATATTTTACTATTCCCTGGAGTTGGAATGCTTTTGTCGTTATAAAATAATGAGTGAATCAAATATGGAAAAAGAAAAAACAATATTACACACCTAAGCTGTGACGAAGGGAGTCGGCAGTGCTGGGTGGGCTGCCAGAACGTGTCGGAGGTCGAGAGTGGTATAGGGAGGGGATCAGACTCCCTTCTTCACTCCTCTGTCTGTTTAGGGGGTATTCCCTGTTTCCACACTGACTGCTGGGACGATTTTCACTAAAAATAACACAATCGTATGCAACATTACATACTCTAGATAGTGTAAAAATATGTCAACATGTATACTGACAAAGAGTAAAACTTATTTTAACCTCAACTTTGGTTATTTCTTTTATTTTTAAATTGCAAAATGATCTCTAAATGTAATCAGTGTATTTTTTTACCATGTTTCTATGGCGATGCTGGCATCTTTTGTCAGTGCTCCATGGTTTGAATGCCAGGCTACGAATGTTTTCTTTAGAAAACATATTTAATTTGATCCACTGTACCATTTTCTTAGCCAGTAGAAGCTTTATTACCAGTGTAGCATAACAAAAGATGCAACACAAACTGCAAAATGGCTCACTGATTACATAACAACTTGATTATGCTGGTGTTAACTAATCGGACTTCAGAAGAGAAAGACCCTAAAATTCAGGTAACTTTACCAAATTCTATGCTTAAAATAAAATCGGAAATCACATAAAACATTCTGGTGTCTTTTCAACAAAAAAGTTTTAATCAAAAGAGACCTGACATAAAAATATGTTTTATGATAAATGGACTGAACTTACCCTGAATTTCGATGAGAACTTGGGGTGACTGGCCGTTGTAAGGGCTCATCAACGTTTGGGCATGCCAGAGGAGTTGACTTCCTCTTTGCTTTCATCATGTTTGTCATGATCTACGACATAACAGCCACATGTTAAACATTTGACAGCAGTTTTATATCTTTATTAATTAGAGGACGAAGACTCTGTGCTGCACTGAACCTTAATCCACTTTAGTTATTCAGAACTGTAAGTGCCACTGTGACTGTATGTAACATGTATGTAAACATTCATGTAATAAGGTCTGCTGCTGACACATGATGATGCCTGGCTCATGGTAACGTGCTTACAGTAGCGTTACTATGTAAAGTTGCCACATGAAGACATTTCCTTAAATTTGTATACTGGATCAACTGGAGTTCAGATCAGGGTTAGTAGTTGATGTTCTCCAGTCTTCTGATATGTTTGCAACTGCTCCAGATTCATTTCAAATTTCCAAAAACCTTCAGTTACAGAGGTGTTTAATAACTAAAGCTGCCTCCCAAAAAGTTGTAGCGGCCACTGTTTGCCACTTTTTGAAGTGGAAGCAAACTTTAGAATCATTGCACATGTACTTTGAGAAACTGATGTAAAAATCTGTCTCGCTGCATCCAAAAATGTTTTCAACTGTTAATGAACACACATTTAAAAAAGGATGTCGACCAAGGGAATATATCGGCTAAAACAACAACAAAACATTGATAATAAAAGAAAGAGAGAAAATAGCATAATTAACTCAAAATTATGGAGCACAAGTTTCCTACCCCAAGATACTCAGTGGTGAGCAGAGTCTCCCCAGACAGCTCCCTTTGCTGGGGTTGAAGAATTTCCTCTTTATCAAGTTCTATTTCCATTAAATCCTCCTGTAAAAACATGTCCACAGCAACAAGATCTGTTTACTGCCATCTCAAATAACAACTTTATCAAAACATTCATTCTTTCACACATCTCCCTCCACCTTAATACACAACCAGATGTCGTTGATATATAAATATGTATTTATGAGATAAGGCTCTTTCTTTCATGAGGTTTCAGATTTATGTACAACCATAAGGCAGGTATATAATTTAATAATTTTAGTAATTCTTCCTTCTCAACCAAGTTTGTTGGCAAAACAAGAATTTCACTTCGCTATCAAAAGAATATAATAGGTATAAAAAAACAAACAAAAACATCTAAATGCCTTACATCATTGTCATCCTCTTCTTCCTCATCATCGGACTCTGGTCCCTCTTCATCACCTGGGTTAAAAATAGTATAAGGACTTAAAGAGATTCTTGATTGCTAAAATACTGAAGAGTAACAAACAAAAAAGAAAAAAAGAACAATTATATTTTGCACACTGTCTCAATATTGAGAGACGGTTTTCACAGAAGGAAAAACCCTATCGACACTGATCATTAAAGGTTGACTTTGTTTAGAAATGCCCATCGGACCTAAAGTAAAAATGTATTTGAGTTAACTAACCTGAGTTGAGCTGCTTAATGATGAACTCAATCTGTCTGTTGAGGTCTGGGTTTTCCTCTCTGTTGTAACAACGAAGAATCTCCTCTATACTCTAAACATAAAGCATAGATTCAAAGGTGGACACTCGGGTAACGCTAAAAGTTATGTAAGCACTCAAAGAGAGCAAGTATGAACTAATAAATGATTATGTTGTTACATTTGTAGCATTTCTTAACTGTGTATTTTTTTCAAAATGAATCAGGGATTGTTATTGTGCACCATAACTTACATTGTAAATCTGTTTTCATCTACATACTTTTATAAACACAGGGTCTAAGTGCTGAGATTAGGAAGAAAAATGGTAGCATGAAAGACAAAATGTGTCTTTTCTCCAAATAGAGGACAGTATTTCTTCTATCTCACCATCTCTTTGGCTTCCTGTCGCACCGAGGGAACACACAGGATACTGTACAGAGCTCCATTCACATATGGCCGAATCTGAGGAAGGCACACCGACACCAACAAACACAAACTCTGTCTTAGAGATATTCAGAAAAATTCATTCGGGGTCTAATTTGAATGTAGATTAATAATTTTGTGTGGAGTAAAATATGCAATGAGAAGGAAACAGGAAACATTAACATCATAACTTTATTAGACTTAGGTTATTTAGGCCTGATAGAAAATCTACTATGGCATGGATTACTTCATTCATTTATATAGAAGCAATATAGCAGCAGAAAATAACTTGCATGTGTTTTATATAAAAGTGCTCTGTGAGTATATTATTGCACAGTCTGTGTTCATTTGGTAACAGATGTGTAAATTACCTCATGGTTCTCATGTCCGAGGAGGTCAGTCAGAACTTTGAGCACATGCTTGGCGTTCTCCGCGCACTTCCTTTTTCCTACAAATGGACAGTTATTCAAAACAGACACACAAATTCTGTTGAATGCTACATCTCAGCAGTTTTTTGTCTGTGTCAAACAATGACTCCATTCCATCCAGTTCCATCAAGCTTAATTACTTTGGAATTTCTAAATGTAGGATGATACCAATCCTTTTGGAAAGTATATTCCTCTGATACTTCAAAGGTGATCAATTCTTTGTATTATTTCTTTTATTTTTTCCAGCTATAGTGACCTCTATTTGACAGTGGTCAAACAGGAAGGCAGGTCATGAGAGAGGGGGAACACATGTGGCAAAGGTCAGTGGAACAGGACTCAAACCTGTGACGGCCATGTCGAGGACAAAGGCCTCCGTATATGGGTCACACACTTTTAACTCTACCCCTCCAATGATGAGCCTTTCTGTCTTTTATTTCTAGCAGACAATAAAAGACAGAAAGGCTTTTATTTTGTGTGTTATCAAGTCAAAAATGAACTTGGTAACAAGTTAAGAAAAGTCAAATCAGGATGTATTTGAATTATGAAAGAGTTTTAATAAAGTTTGAAGACATTAAAATATATCGTCTTGCCATATTGAACATTTGAAATGGCAAATGTAGTTAACACAACCAAGTATTTCAGGAAATAAGTAGAAAACAGAGAAAAAACACAGACTAACTTTTACCTGCTGGTAGCTCAAAGACAAAGCATGAAAGCCAGAGGCTGACATGGCTGTAAGTGGTTAAGTAAAATTTGTGTCTTTAATTTACTGTTTAAAACTCCAGAGGTTAATTTAAGATTAACATCTAAACTGAACCAGCAAGACTAAAACCAGGGGTGGATTCCTACAGTACAACTACAAACAGCTAGCTAAAACCACATAATGCAGCAGTAATGAAGCAACATAATATTTAGATGCTACAGATATTAGTAAATATGAACCTCGGTTTAGTTTTGTAACATCTGAATTGTAATAATTATCTTTATCCACATTATGTTTTTCATTCTCTTACCTTTGGTTCGCAGACACAAGTTCATAAGCAGAGCTGCAGAATACTCCAGGGTGTAGTCACTGAGGCAGTCCGAGTCCTGCAGCTCATCCACAAGCCAACCAATAAGATCATCTTCGATCATGGCTGTCTGCTGGCTTCTCCTAAGAAGGACACCGCAATTATTCATTCTTATCAGCAAAGCCTAAATTCTAATAAACAGGACATTCATGTAAAAAAAAAAGAGTTTCTGGATTCTACCTTAAGTACCTTCTTCATTATTTAGGGTAAGAGCACTATGAATCTTTTCTGCATTCATGATTTGATACAAATTTACCTCAGAGTAATAATAACCAAGCTGATACTAAAGACTTGACCGCTTTAAACTGAAATGCATTTCATTCATTATTTCAACTTTATGAGGTAGAAGTATCAAACCTGAGTGTTCACATCAACCAGCTTAGCAGATTAATATGCACTCTGAAAGCATTCATGTTGTCATTCATCTGTCACCGACTGGCTTCATAGTTTTTCAGTTTCTCTCCTTTATTTAATGACATTGAGAAAATGTAACTTTATGAGTAGAGACACTGAATGATCCTCCAGTATGGAGCTAATCTGAAAAAATCCATTGATCAGTAGAATCTGAGATGAATGACATATTGAGTGTGGTGCAGAATTTTACTTATATCTGAAGCGTAGAATGCATTTAAAAAGCCTGCATGAGGATTGTGATGCTTATTGTCTTGTGCATCATTTCAGGTGATTATTGATGTCGACCATGAATCTAGATTGAGCTGTATGATGGAAATTAAAATCCATAATAGGTTCTGAGACATTGTTTATTGTGAAACAATGTCCCAGAACCTTCATGATATTGTATCCATTAGAAACAAACTGCAAATTTTTACCTAAGACTGAGCTTCTGAAGGGCAACCAGAACATTTTCCCGAGTCAGAGAGTCCTTCTCCTCCCTCCTTAGTGTTTCTGTCAGAAGCTTCACAAGAACTGGAATTTGGGAGAGGTAAATCCGGCCTGTAATCATGAATACAGCAGGCAATTAAAAAAAAAAGTTATCTTACATAATCTGGAACATTTTCAAGTTTCTGTACAAAATATGAAATGGCATTCAGTTGAACTAAATTACAACTATCAGCAATCATTCAGAAAAAAAAAAAAACTTGTTAAACTTAAGCAAGTAAGTCTTTACTCTTATGAAAACAATGCAAACTCCACATGAACAGTGTATTTTTAACAAAACTTGATTAGAGCCACAAGCCATACTAATGCCATACTGGGCATTAGTATGACTAGATACAAGTCTAAGCCCTGAAGTCTCAGCTGAAATCAAAATGTAGTTGATTTGTTTAGATCATCTGCTAAACCTTAAAAGTTTCCCTGTAACAGAGACAGAAAACTTTACTCCAGCCTCTTTATAAACTGCCTTTCTTTATTATTTGCATTCTGCTGCAGAGTATCATTAGTGGTTTCAGTCCTGAGGTCTTCGATCAATCTACATCTCCACAAGAAAGTTTAACAAGGCTATGACTCATTTTACCAAGAAATGAGGATGCAAACCAAAGGCTATTAGGATCATACCCTCTGCAAGGGAAGCAAATGCATTGATGAGACGAGCAGTGTATTGACGGACAACCTCGTTTGCTGACTTCATCAAATGAAGCACAGTTTTCTAAGACAAAGGAAAAACAGAGTCATTTCTTTGCATGCTAAGCTTCAAGTTGCATGTAGTAAAAAACAAATGTCGAAGCAACCACTATTGTTAATAATTTTGAGTTTCTTTTCCTTTAAAGTCAACATCATCTAAATAATCTGCAAGAGTCTTAAAACATTTGCATTAATCTCAAGGTTCAAGTGGACGGTAAACGTTTGCATGCATGTATTCATACTTGATCACCCTCCGGCCGTACTGTATTTGTGTTTTCAGTTTGTATTTTTACTACTAATTTAGATGTAAGCAAGTACATGTAAGCAATTTTCATTTTCATCCAGGAGTGGGCAATACGATGTTCTTAAATCTTGAAGAATTAAAAAGAAAATAGTGACAAGCTCCCAAAATAGACCAGGTTGTCTTTAAGTTATACTCTTTATACATTGAATTTTATGCTATTTAAAAAAAAATGTCAAATTTGTTTCATAATTACCAGCATTAGTATAGTTACAGTGAAAAATAATATACCCATTAAAACTTTTTGATCGTCCATCAGAGGCATCATCTCAGATGCAACACAGGAGACGGGAGCAGAGGCCAATAAAAAAAAGCAGCAAAACTTAAATCGACAGAGAGATTCAAGTCATTCATGACGTGGAGGTGGACTTGAAAAAAAACCTACTCTATGCAATTCTAAAGAGGTTTGGTCCTCTCTCTGTACAGAGTGAAATTACAGGACAGATAGTATTCCTTTATCAGTGTTAGTATGTCAAACGTTTACCGTAAAATCCCTATTCAGGTATTAAACACTCTGAACTTTAGATGGCATAAAGTTAATTAAAGCAAATCATATTTGTTATAATCATACACATTTGCTTTAGAATTTCTATCTAATTCAAGCATTTCCACAGAAACCTCTGGCCCACCTTGTTGGTGCTGTAGCATTCCAGCAGGTCGTTACTGATGTAGGCTTGAAGCACCGTGTCCCTCTGTTCACCAGGGAGTGAGCGAGTTATTCTCTACATAAACAGAATTCAACAATTAAAAGGTCTTCATCCATGATGTAAAAAGATAGATATTATGCTATGTTTACTACTTAAGCTCTCATGGTACTCGTTGTTATGCGAAAAAATTATTATGTGTAATGAGGTGATAATAACTATCCCTTTTAGAAGAAGAGTTGTTACTACTTCTACCAAGGGGACAGTTTCAATGTGTGTGGATGATCAGCAATTAATTAAAAAGGCAAGACTAAAAGCTGAAATAGTTCAGTTCCTGCTGATAAAAAGAAACGTAATAGAATGCAATCATTCGACAGAAACAGCGAACAGAAACAACATGGACTCAAGCGTCTGAGAACTGAAAAAAGGAAATGAAAATAAGCCTGCAACGTAACAATATAAGAATCTCCTAAAACTCTTCCTACCCAGCGCAGAGCCTGCAGCAGGAGACACTTCAGCCTGTCTGAGCCGACAACCAAGTTGTTCTTCAGTTTGTCATAGTCCAGAGAAGGCAGCATTGGCACCTCCTTATGCCTCCTGTGTGCCAATGATTTATTTTTACATTTTAGGATCTAACTAAATAAACTGAACAAAAAATATAGAATTAAACACTTACTGTAGTGCAATAGATGCACGTAGCATAGACGAAGCCTAAAACAGGAAGTACATAAAAAAACAAGAGGTTAAGTATATTTTAGAAGATTTATTGTTTCAGTTTAATAACCTTGATTTTAGTTCAGTTTACACAAAGCAGAACATAAAACATGCAAGTGTTCAAATTATTCATGTCATCTTCACTTCATATAGTTTCCACCAGCTGAGTTGTTAGTATAATATAATACATGCATTCATCATGCCTTATCTGAACATGCTGAACATTGTTTTAGCCCCCAGTGCAGGGGCTTGTGGGTACTATTGTCCATGCAGTATGCAACATTCAGGCAAAGAACCATCACCAAACAGGTGGGGTAGTGTCCTCACAGCTGTTACATCTCAGTTCAAATATATAATAAAGTATAATGAATAAACTTTATTCAACTAAGGTTGACAAAAAGTAACATAATATGGCTCAAGACAAGAAAACAACCTGAATGTGTCTGTGGAAACAACGTGAAATTTATTTTTAACCTGAGGGAAATTAGAGCTCTGAAATAACTTTTTTTTTTTTTTTGTAGCTTCCAAAAGAAATGAGACTTAGCGACACATAAAAGGAATATTCAGTAAAGTCTGAAAATGCTATTCCTGGAACTAACTAATACAAGTTTCCTCAAACTAAATAATTCACAGATAAAAAACAATTTATATTTCAAATTTACGTGATTAAAATTGATGTGAAAAGAGACAACTAAAAATTATAATCCTTGCCCATATTGCCTGAAGAGGTCACCATTGTGTGCAATCACTTTAAATGATCCAATTCAACGACCCTTTAAATTCCCATGAATTTTAATTCTGGCTATTCAGTCTTTAACTGTGTCACATTTTTCTTCTCTGTGACTTGACCTGGAAAATAATGAATGTTAAACCTCAGACACTGTCAATAATACTGAAACATCACATTTATTGACAGTGACTAATGCCATCTGCAGTGTTTTACAGCCTGACTGTGGGAAAAATGCACTTTGTGTTGGTTACTCTCATTAAGGTTTTTACTTAACATGTTAAAAAAACATTACCAAAGAACGCAACAGGATACAACTAAAATTGCTTTTAAAAGAGACACAAACAAGAGGTTACAGAATAGGACACAATATTGAAGTAGAGTCTGAAAGACACTCCGGCCTTATAACGGGTCTAACAAAAAGATCCTTAAGCAAAAAAATAGAGAGACATCTTTTTAAACTAGGGCAATCTAACAGGAAGAAGAAAAACAATGGAAAACTGAGCATAGGGTCAGGCAAAGAAATGGATACATGTTGACAGAGAGCAGTTGCATTTCACGATGTGAGGGGAGAAGATACAGAGTGGAACAAGCAAGATGGGTAGTAGGGACAGAAGGGATGATGGAAGAAAAAGATATAAATATGAAACTTACATAGCCATCATCATAGGGACTCATAGAGTAATATCCCTTTGTGGATAAAAGCATCACACACAAAGAAAACACACACAGTAAAAAAAGGCTCGTTCAGATCAAACCATAGCAACACAAGGTTTCACAAGAGGAATACAACAGCACGTCAAAGACCACTGACTGCAAGCACCACTGAGAGGATAGAAATCTGTAAAGCAGGTTAAGACCTTGTCTGCATGTAACCAGGTATTTTTAAAACAATGTAGCGTAAATTTTGAATCACGTTAATGCTAGTATGTGGATATTGAACAGTGTTATGCCTGTGTATTGGCAAGGATAGCTAACCGCTGAACTCCAACATAGTAAAACGGTTTTAATGGTCACATGGGTGACATCAGACCTGCATCACTTGTTCCAGACTGTAATGCACTGATCTCTAAACTGTCATTAGTTTTTCGAGCAGCACATACAATCCACTGGACAGCAAAGTTTTTATAATCTGAGTAAATACAGATTATAAATTGGCACCAACACTAGACTAGACTAAGACTAATTTGAAGTAGTGTCTTGCTGTGAGTTACAATGAAAGGCAAATTCAGTTACTCCCCTTTCTCTTCCACCTGTGTATTGTCAATATGTAATTTTCCAAGGAGTTTATTTGAATGAACAAAGGAAAACTAGGATCTTGGTTTTTACTTGCCGGATATATGCCGACTTATCGCTGAAGGTGAAGTGTACAAACAGAGACACCCACCATATCAGTTAGTAATCTCTAAGTCTTTTTCAAACACCACATCAGTCTGACCAGCCGTGTCTGACGTGACAACTGACATCCCTCACCGATGTGGCTTTTACAACATGCTTCATAAAGCTTTGTTGCACTCTTTGTGGAAAGAGGTGGAACAGAGAGAAAAGGATGTGAGAAATTGCTGTGGTTGTGTGTGGTTCTTACAGTGCCAGGCCTTGTGAAGTCTGTGCTCTGAACAGCACTTTGCCTCATCTGGCTGCTGAATAGGCGAACACACACACTCTGCAGATACTCAGGGGAAATCTGCAAGAAATACACAATGTCATTTTTACGTTAAAGTCTGCTCACTGGAAAATATGTTTTTGTTCAAAATTAGGACTAAAAATAAATACTATTAAACAAAAATGACTTGTTTCTGTACTGCTCTTTACTTTGCAACTGCAAAAAGAAAGAAACCCAAGACATCATGTGTAGTCTTTAGTCTTTACATGCAGCATGTACACTGACTAAAAATATAAACACCCCATGTCAAATGTAAGAGTTTTATGAACATCTGAGTTATGCAATATAAAGAGAAATTCAAAATATATTTTCAATAATTACTGATCTTCATATCGGCAGTGATACTTGTAGTGGATTGACAGTCCTTTGAATATGGACATGCACTGAGTAAAAAAAACAACTCACTGAATAATGCTCGATGACAGCAGGTTGGATTAAAAATTATTCACAAATCAAGAGAAATCTTACTTTTGTGTAATAAAATGTCAGCAAATGGTTATTTACAGTTGTTGACTCCACATGGCAACGATATTTGACATGGGGCTTTTACATTTTTGTTCAGTACATTTTTATATATGCAATCAGCCCAGCTTACCATTTTTCCACTGACAGTGGCCTCTAAAGAGTCGACCAGCTCAGCAGTGATTCCAATAAGGTTATGGTAGTCAGCTTTGATCTTGTTACACTTCCGTACGTAGCTGGAGATGCGTCGCTCCGATTCGGCCAGCTGAAGCTGCAACTGCTGCATGGCTTCTGTGCGGCCACACAAACACAATCAGACTGAGGTTACAGAACCTTAGCCCCTAAGACAAATAAAAAATGTGCTGTTACCTCTGAAATCTTTTGTTATAAATTGGAATATTAAAAAAAAACACCCGATTGATCATTTTTAAATCAAACAACTGTTTGCACTAAATATTTCACAATTAAACATTGGATTTAAGCCAGTATTTACCTATTCAAATCTTTCACTGCAACCATTTAAAATTGGTTGCATTATTATGAAAACAATAATAATAATAATGATAATACAGACCTTTGGGCACTTAAATAACTTAGAAACATCATAATATGTAGGAGAAAACATAAAATACAGCATCTACAACAAATATTAGTACAAGCCTGAGAGGGTTTCTTCACCTTCGTTGCTTTTGAATCATAGACTGGGAATATAAAACACTAACTCCACTAATCCAAACACAGCTGCCTATGTGGTTAATGTTAATGAAACACAAAACAAAACTGTAAATGGGATTTTGTGTCATAAATTGTGAAACAAAGCTTTAGACCTTTTATAATGTCCCTTAATGCAAAGAGGTATTTTCATGAGGGAAACACTTTCCTTGTATGAAGCTTCATTAAACATGGAAATTTAGACTATCTGAAAAGCTATTCAAAACTGTATTATTTGCCAACCAGTTATATAGAGTCAACAGTGGACAACTTTTCACAAACAGAAACATATATCAAATAATATTGAAATCTTAATATATTTGACACAAATATTTACCTTTGGAAGTTCTTCCACCCTCCTTCTTCATAATGTTCATTAAAGAATATGTAAATATATATACACACATACAGTATATACATACAGTATATATATATATATATATATATATATATATATATATATATATATATATATATATATATATATATATATATATATATATATATATACAGTATCTATATATATATATATATATATATATATATATGTATATATATATACAGTATATATATATATATATATATATATATATATATATATATATATATATATATATATATATATTATATATATATATATATAGCTAACAAAAATGTATATAGCTAGCTAAGATTATTAAACCCTTTACTCTGAATGCAAGACTTTGAGATCACTGACGAATTCAACACTAAACTAACCACACCAAACTAAAAAGACACGTGCAGTCAGAGGATTCCCACTATGAAACGATAAATTTCATAATAGATTTACAAATGCATTTGAACATTTGTAAATGTTCAAATACAGCAAGAAACCTCTCTCAGCAGCACACTGACAATTCTTTTGTCAGAGTCAATAAATGAGGCACAGACAAAGGATACATATAAAGTCAACAGCCTTGGAATCTTAGACGATTTTAGAGTCACTGATAAAAACTTCTCCAACTTGTCCTTCAACTGTGGCATCCAGGAATCCTGGTTAAAAAAATAAGACATATTGGAGAAAGATTATAAAGAATGTTTGAAGGTGGTTATGGGAAAAAGAAAAAAAAAACATGAAAAGAAATGCCTTTTATAGGAGTTTGAGCACCTGAAAGAGATCTTTAAAGGAAGGGTGAATGGTTGGATTGGGAACAAAAGGCAAAGCGTAATAAGGCAAAAACTCAGTAGTCTGGCTCAGAGTTGATCCACGAGTTTCAAGGTACTGCTTGAAAAGGAAAATCCTCTCCTCAAATTCAGCTCGGTCCTGCAGAGAGATGACAGTTGGTCAGTTACATTATTTATTTGAACTAATAGCTGAATGTCACAGAAGCTGATTGCATCATTAAAATACTGTTTTCATTGTCTAAATGGCTCTCGAAAGTATGGCAACAAACGCTGAATAAACGAATTGAAATAATGTAAGCAGCTCTAACTACAGCTCATAATTTTCTAAATAGCAATATGTAATCTAATTAGAGTTTAGCTAATTGGAGTTATATTGGGTAATAGAGTAAAAGATGTGCTGGAAGTTAGGAAAACAGCGCATGACCAATGGCTTTGCTTAAAAAGAAAATGTGGCACCACCTAGTGAACACTTTCAAAAACGGCACATTATGTGTAATTACATAGTTATTTCTTTCAAAAAATAAATACAACTATAAATCTACATACTTGTCTACTCGGGTGTGTCCTCAGCGGGTAGACAGTAAAGTGGATATGAAGGTAGAACTCAAGGTTCTGTGCTTCATCATCTGAGTCTTTAACCGCTGAGGGAATGTTTTCTGCCCAGAGATCAAAGAACACTTTGTGGTCGCCATCATCAAATGAGCTCAAAAGATCTTCCTGAAAAAGTCAGATTTAAACACAGGGACATTTGAATGAGTAAGAACTTAGATGTGGAAAATTGCTTTGTGCATATTCATTTGCATATTGTACTATTTAAATATAATAAAAGTATATTGGAATATTTGGAAACATTGTCTCAAAGTGGGGGAATTCCAGTGTACCAGCAACAAGTTAAAAGAAAACAGAAGCATACATATTCAAGCTAAGGCAAGACAAGTATGAAAACAGGACAATAAGAAAGAGGGAATGCACAACAAGGGCAAATTTACAACATAAAAACGTAATTCTGCACAGTTATTAAGCAATAGAATAATCAGATCAAAACCAATGTGCTACAAAGTACAGGCATTTGAAACGTTCAAAATGTGCATGTGTATTTTTGCATAAAACACCAAATACTGTGAGCACCAATTCACAAAGTTAACTTGATTCTGTGCCCTACTTCTTACTAATCTTCCTATTTGATAATAGTCTGTACCATCACATATGAAAAATTACCATAATGGAACAAAACCTTCCTCAACTGTTTCATTACTGGATCATGTACCTGGATGACACGGGTCTTTGAGTCTCTCAGAGCGCTTCCACGAGGCTTCGATACAAGCTTCCCTTTGGTTTTGCATTCCTTGTCAAAAGTTTGAATGGTCTCTTCAAATTCTTCGAAGTTAAGGTACTGCCAAAGAAAAACAAAAATAAAGTTCAAATACACTCACATGTGGGACATGCAACATCCAAAATGTCTCTGCAAATTTTATGAACTGCCAGTAGTTTGCAGTAAAATTATATATCACATCAATTCAAATTCAAAAATACATAATTAATGCCAATAAAGTGTGCACTGCAAAAATGTAGTACCTCTTTGATAATCCCAAGAAGATCAGCTTCAGTTGCCAAGATGTCCCCCATCTCGGCTCGCTCCCTAGAACTCATGCGAGTACCAGAAATGTTCAAACCCCAAAGTGACAGGAAGGATTTCTGCTTTCATAAATCGCAGATGGAAATCAAAGTAGCATTATTGCAGGCTGCAAAGACAGGACAATTTATTACCATTATAGCAAGTCAAAACAAAGCAGCACACATACACAGACTAAATCGTTACTGTACACCAAATAAGAAATGTTTGGTACAATCAATCATAAACCGATTACTTAAGAAGTATTTGCGTTTTGCATCCTTATTGTCATTACATTGTTGTAGATTTTAATCAAATCTGCCAATACGCCAGACAAATCTCGCAACATCTCATCTCACTGGTATCCCTCTGATCATGCTAAACATCTTTGAACGTCAACTTTAACATACTGTCCAAGCTAGCCAACGTTACTTGAGGATATAATCGTTATTCTTACCTCATTCGCCCATCGCTTATTGGAATTAGTCAAATTAGAAATCCTTATTCTATGGATCAATCCGTAACTAAACAGTATTAAACACATTTTCGACAGGGCTTTGTTCGGCCCTTTTCTCCCCTAAATTTCAGTCATCGAACGATTAGCTAGCAACTGTACATAGAAAGGACGCTAAAACTACTTAGCAACCAGACGTAGCCAGAAAGTGGAGGTAAATGTCGTGCACACCGTTTGAACTCGCTCATGTTTTATCCCAAAAAATGAATACAATAATTTTTTTGAAAAGAAATAAAACCACACCTAATATTCTGTTAAGTGTTTTTTTTTCTATTGATTAAAATTAGAACGCGGAATACACTTGTATCATAAAACTACAAAGAATATGTAAAATTGTTACGATTAATCTATATTCGTCAATATTTAATTACTGTCAATGAGCGGACTGTTTTTTGTGCAATTTTTAAGATTTTTGTCATTTTAAATCTCACCAGTTTTTTTTATTTGTTTTTTTTTATTATTATTTTCTGGTCGGAAGTACTTCCCGTGTCAGAGGTTGAGCACATTGTTCCTCCGCGGGATATTATGGTTTAGATAGTTATGAATGAAATCGCATTGAGTGAACAAATTTAGTACTTATATTCAACCCTTGCGGCCTTTCAACCACTCGGAGTGGTTGTAGTTTTATGTCCTTATAGTCTATTTCAAGAACAGCGTTTGTGGTAAGTGTAAAAACTTGTCTGGGAAGCATGCTAAAATTAGCATTTAGCTTGAACGTAGCAGCAGAAGTTGTAGTAATTAATGTATTTGTACGGGTGACGTAAGGAATACGTAGCTTTGTAAAATAAGATATTGCAAGTCCAAATATTGGTTGAAAATCTTACAATTAAATCTTAATTTATATGTTATCAACTTTACACACCACGGGTAATCAATGCAAAAAGACAAGAGTTGGAGTAAAATCATCATATTCTGCTGAGATCTCTTGCTTTGTTGTTATTTAATAATCTGAGATGTTTGAGAGGATTTTTTTTTTTTGGCAGACCAAGAAATAGGGAATTACAGTAATCAAGAAGAGACGAAAGCATGAATGGGGTTTTAGCATCAGTGAAAAATACAATTGATTTTACCAAACACGAAAAAAGTAGACTCTACAGTTTTAGGCACCATGATTTTTTTTAACTATTTCATTTTCTGTATGTTTTAAAAGTTGCTGTTGTAAATTGTTTCCTCTTCTTGTTGCTTGATATCTGTTGCCTAGTGTTTTTATTTTTTGTATTTATTTCATTTGATCTCTTCCAGGAAATCAGACTGAACACAAAATGGCTGGAATCCTGTTTGAAGATATCTTTGATGTAAAAGACATTGATCCAGATGGCAAGAAGTTTGACAGAGGTATGTGAGATGAAATAAAAAACCGCCCACAAGAGGAAAACAAAATAAAAGTGCATAATATAAGGCCTACACGCCTGTATTATTAATGGGTTTCGTTGATTTATTGATTCTGTCTCTGCTTAGTTTTATGAGGGTGCTATGTGTTTTTTTTCTAACCCAGGCAAACATAGTGTTAAGCCCATTGACTGATGGTGACATAACAACATAAAATAAGTAAATACAAATTTCAGGAGTATTTAATGGAAAATCTATTTGAGCAGCTTATTTGTAAAGAATGGAAAATCTAAATCTTCTACAAAACTTAATTGTTAGATGTGTGTCTCTTTACCACACGCATTTAGACAGCATATGTTGTTTACATGTTGTTGTTTTTTTTTTGTCTTAAGTGTCTCGACTACATTGTGAAAGTGAATCTTTCAAGATGGACCTCATCTTGGATGTGAACATTCAGATATATCCTGTTGATCTTGGTAAGATCTTAACTGCTTTTGTCCAAGATGGTTGTCTTACTTTGAAATAATGTTATCTAGTTAAATAGAAAGCTTTGTAACTGTTTTGCATGTATTTAAAAAAAAAATCTGGTGTCAATTGGCTTTTAATAAGATACAATGGGTTGATTTTGTTTTATTTCTCAATTGCTCAGATGAGATGTATAAAAAACATGGACATAAAAATTCAATCCAGAGGAAACCTATGTCAAGGCATCTGTTAAGACAATGATGCCATCATTCTCTAATTTTATTTTCCATGTCATTAAGGTGACAAGTTCAGACTGGTGATTGCCAGCACATTATATGAGGATGGAACACCAGATGATGGAGAGTACAACCCTCAGGATGATCGACCGTCTCGGTAAGACATTTTCCACCGCATACATTTCTGCATGTTAATGTAAGTAAGCAACACCATGTGTTTGCAGTTTGAAGTTTGTACTCAGAGTTACATTTGATTTTGTAGAGCAGACCAGTTTGAGTATGTGATGTATGGAAAGGTGTACAAGATTGAAGGCGATGAAACATCAACTGAAGCAGCGACACGTCTGTAAGTAAATTGGTTGTGCAGCATGAGTGAGTAGTAGTGACATTGAGTCAAATGAAGTTATTTAGTATGTATAATGCAAAACTTGAAATCTGCATCAAAATATGGCAAATATGTTTATGAGAAAAAAATAATTGTATGATGTGCTTATACTTTCAGCTCTGCCTATGTGTCTTATGGAGGTCTTCTTATGAGGCTGCAGGGAGACGCCAACAACCTTCATGGTTTTGAAGTGGACTCCAGGGTCTACCTTCTTATGAAAAAGCTGGCCTTCTGAGCACTGGTCTCCTGGTCCACTCACTCACTGCACTCTGTTGTCATCTAACTTTGAAGTCATAGTGAAATTTATACATCTATGTTTGGAGCAATTTACAGAAGGATAACATGGACTATTGGAAAAATACTTTTGGAAACACCTTTTCTGTGTCTTAATTCATAAAAATGCTTTAACAGAGACACAGTACACACTCAAGACTTTGGCAATAACAGATACAATCTCATTCTCAAGCAATTGTAAATAAATATTTCTTTTATAAAAACAATGGTTAGCAGATGCAAGGCATTTGCATAAGGATCTTGATCCATTATGGGGTTTATTTTATTTTTTTCTTTTTCTCAAAACCTGCAAATACTCGCCTCAAACATCACATTTATTTGGATTTTTAACAGCACGACACCAGCGAGACTTGCTGTAATAGTGAGATGAAACATCAAAAATGTTATCTGAGACATCTTCAAGGGAATCACAAGTTTTGTTCAAGGGAATAACGGTTCATATAATTTAAGTTCGCATTTACATAATTTATTTTCAGATGTTACATTTTCACAACAACCATTTTGTTTATTTCATATGTCGACAAACCATTCAACTTAAAGATTTGTAAAATCGACTTTGAATATTAAGTGGTGTGGCCATGAAAAATTCAAGATGGGGACAAACTGAAATTCTATGATGCTGGGGACTGCAAATCAAATTAAAGGCAAGAAAAAGCAGCTTTTGTGCACAAACAGAGCTGTTTAAGCCTGTGATAATGAATGTCACAGGATAGAGAAGAGTTACCAGTGACTCACGCATTCCTGATAAATGCAAGTAAAACTTTAATTAACGTGGAATTTTCTGATGCAGTAAAACAGGCCTGCCTGCACATCATGTAACAACAGTATACTCATTTTTTAAATGAGAAATATTTTAATTTTTCAGATGGAAATTGGTAAATCACAACATTAGATCCCCCAATTCACACTAGCTTCTCACATAAATTGTGATGCATTTAATGTGTTCAAATACATTGCTGTACAAAAGTATTCACATCCCTTTGTTTATTTTTACATTCTGAGTTTCACAACAGTAACTATACTTTCAATTGAGATCCACACAAAGCAGTTCATAATTTTAAAGAATAAGAAAATGTTGTTTTTCCCTTTTTATTCTCATATGTATACAATTTTGAAAAGTGTGGAGTGCATTTATATTTAGTTCCCCAGAGCCTAATTAAAAGAACCCTTTTTGGCTGTAATTTTAGCTGCAGTTGGTTTTGGGAGGATCTCACATTGGCTACATAGTGCTGGTGAATGCTATTCTCAATTGGCATTAAGTCTGGATACAGATTGTATCCTTCCTAAAACACTTATTGTTGTTTTGAGAATATTTTTAAAGTCACCTCCAGTCTCTAACAGGGTTTTTATATATATGGTTGTGCATATTTAGATCTATCCAGCTAAATATGCACAACCACTCCCTGAGACATTTTAGGCCCACACAACAACAAAATATAAATTACACACAATCTGAATTTAATTACTAACTAGTTTGCTTCTGGAAGCATGCTGGTTGCACTTTATGTTTTTGGGGTGCATCAGATTAAATGGGGCAGAATTCATTTGCACGCCTCACTTTTCAGACTTATTTGAAGAACGTTTATTTTCATTCCATTCCATTGTGTTAATTTGCAAAGGTCTGTCATAAAATCACAATCACATTTTATATGAAATGCGAAAAAGTTCAAGCAGGAATACTTTTGCTAGGCACTGGAAACACTAATGTCAGCTACCTTAAAAAATCCCCAAAATCTACTATTTGCTGTACAGTTTTTGAAACAAAAATATTATGACTGATGACAAAATTAATTAGATCAGACAGGCTAAAACAGGAGTGTCAAACTCCAATCCTCAAGGGCCGGTGTCCTGCAGTTTTTAGATGTGCTACAGGTACAAAACACTGGAATGACATGGTTTGATGACCTCCTCCTTGTGTAGATAAGTTCTCCAAAGCCTTGCCAATGACCTGATTATTCTATTCAGGTGTGGTGCAGCAGAGGCACATCTAAAAGTTGCAGGGCAGTGGAACCTCCAGGACTGGAGTTTGACACCTAAAAAAAATATTTTTTTATGTTTAACACACTTTCATATTGGTGAACTTTGTCAGTTGTCAGGTTTTTAATGGTTACTCTTAAAGACTCCATTCAAATGCATTTAAAATGCATATGAATGCTTATGAAAACAGGAATGAAGATTCATGTTACAGTTTGGAACGTCACTAGTTTTTGTGCTACCGGAAGTGACGTAATCTGCCTTTGGGGAGATTTATACGTATTTAGTTGGGTAGGATTGGTCGTGGCGAACAGCATCTGTTCTGAGACTTTAAAAAATTTTTTGTCAAGTCGCTTCACACTTTTTAGCTGCTCCGAATAGAAAAACACAGTACGTTCTCAGTGGTTTTCTTTCTCCTGTCTTCCGGCTGTGGACAGATTTAAGGTCTCATCTCCGTCGGCACTAATTGGAAGCGCACAGGACTTTTTCAGCAGAGCTTCGTGTGGAGACGGCGATGTCTTGGGAAAAATCAGCGAAAAAAAATTAAGTGAACCACAATGGACTATCAACGTAAAAAGAAACTGACATTCTCCACCATTGGACTCATTTTTCTTTTTAGCGGTGTGGAATATGGTAAGAAGTTGAAACTGCTCACTGACGCTCTGTATTAGACGGGCAGTGACATAACTAGTGAATATATTTATTTGAGCTACAGTCTTGTGTGTCTTTTAAAAGAGTCTGCAGTTTTGAAAGCTACGGAAGTGGATTTGATCATACATTCTGTTTAAATGCCATCGATTTTGCTAACAGTTTTGACCTGAACCAATAAATGAACAAAAAGTGTATTCTTTTATATTGTTTCTTTTTTTTTTTACCCTCCATACTCTACTAGATTATGAATTTAAATCAGAGCTATGGCTTAAAAAATACAACTCCCTATTTATGCTACCTCTATTTATATTTTTAAACAAAATAATTTACAAGACATCACAAACTGATCAAGTTTAAATTCTCTTTCAGAGATGAGTTTAAAAGGACTTTCAATAGAGTTGAATTAAGTGAAAATGCCCGTACATATCCAGATTGACACTCCCTACCCCCCACTCACAAAAATGATCCTGTCTTTTATCAGGAAACTTAATCTTTTTGTCGTTTGCTGTAATATGTGAAGAAAATGTTTTGTACTCCAGTGTACGGATTGTTTACTAAAAATCCCAGATCTAGACTCTTAACTCTGTCCTTCCTGACATCACAACTGTGTTGGGACGTGGTGGCCATCCACCACCAATCCACTACTGTGTCCATCTGGACCATCCAAGGTTGCACAGCAGTCATCAGTGAACAAGTCTGAAAATTAATCTTTATGTATGGCTGGGCCAACTGCAACCATTTCTCCTTGTGTGCAGTGGTTAGAGGTGGCCGAATAGTAGGTTCATGCACTGCAAGATCCTCCACCTTGACGTTCCAGATGCACCAGCGGCTTCAAAGAACTGTTTGCTGCTTTCTTAAGGCATTTTAACAGCTGCTCTCTTAAACTGATGAATTTGTCTAACAGAAACCTTCCTCATTATGCCTTTATCTGTACAAACCCATCTTTGTTCTGAATCAGCTACACGTCTATTAACAGTATAATAACACTTCACTTTTTGTTAAGTAGCTAATGTTTACATATCTTGTCATTCTTCACTACGCTATCTGAAGGTTTTCATCAGCAGAGACATCCTTTTCTTTCCCATATTGCTTCAAACCTGTGGCCTGCTTAGAGATGTGGAAGTTATCTTTCTCCACATGACAAAAGATGGGCATTACCCAGATTTCAAGAGATTGAGTAATCACTTCCTCCATTCCATTGTTTCTTAGTATGATTTATTGAGCGTCACCTGACTTTGCCATTGAGTTTAGATTGCATTTATCTTGGTTTATTCTTCGTCTGAGTGATAATCCAGATGGACATTGGTGGTAAACAAGAACCCCTTCTTTTTGAAAAGTTTGACTGCAGTTCCCTTAAATGAATATAAATTGATATGATTTAATGTTTCTACATAATGACATTAACCATGCAGTCATTTTATCCCCACCTCTTTTGTCTGTAGATTTTCAGTAAAGCAGAACTGATGGTTTAAACACAAAAAGAAAGTTGATCTGTAAAGCCTGTTTGATTTCTTTAAGATTATTGAGATAAGTATTGAAATTTGTAAGTTTAACTTTACAAATTTAAAGAACACTTTCGAACAGTTATGTTATATTTTGAAAACCAGCAATATTTCATTTTGTGCTGATCAAATGAAATGCTTTGCCTTTTTACAGCAGGAAGTCAAATTAAAATGTATACGTTTGCATTATGCATTTTCAGCTGTTATATTACCCACGATATGGAGGTATCTGCAGACTTTAGAGGCAGCTCCTTATTTCCTGGGTTTGGCCCTGTCAGCCTTCAGCCTCAGTGGGCTCTTGTCTGGACCGCTGTTTGGATATTGGTCCGATCGGACACGGACAACAAAGAAAATCATTTTGCTTTGTAACCTTTTTGAGATAATCGGTAAGTCTTAAATTCCCCATATTATACTCACTGTTCATGCCCACAAATAGTATCTTCAGTTGTCTCCAAAACTTCTGTAAAAAAAAAACTACTACATACATAATTTGTTAACATGTGTCTTTTGCAGGTAATTTTATGTACTTCATGGGCTACTCAAAGTGGCTTTTATTGTCAAGTAGGCTGCTGGCTGGTAAGTCATTCTTCACAATGATGTCTATTAAAAATGAGCATTGCTATAAATCAGTTTTATAATTTACGATGATGTAACCAACATGTCATTAACCTTTGAAAATTTATTTCACTGCTTGTAGATGAGATAACACATAATTTGTAAACATTGCCACCAGCCTCATTATGTTACTGTCCTCAGTAGCATGTAAATGGGTGTAAAAGAAAAAAAAATCCCCCTCATGTTTTTTCTCAGGTCTTTGACTAAGTGATAACTTAAGTAAATACAAAATGCAGTTTTCAGGATTCAATTTATCTGGAGAACAGGAAAAACTAAACCTTCAATTTATTCTGGCCCTTTGTAAAGAAAAAGTCATAGCCCATGTTAAACCATGAATCAACTGTGGGGGTGATTGTGGACGCAGTGGTAGAGGTTGCTGGTTTGAGACTCCATTTCATCCACATTCATTGTGTCCTTGGGAAAGACACTTTACCCATCTTGCCTGCTGGTGGTGGTGGTCAGAGGCAGCTACTCTTCTGTTGGATTTCCCCAGGGCAGTTGGTGCTATAATGTGGCATTAGCATGTCTATGAATGGGTGAATTAATCGCTTTGGAGTCCTCTAAACCTGATAAATCACCATACACATACAGGCAATTTAACACAAATTTCAAAAAAAAAAATTTCAGTAGAAATTTGGTGGTGGTGTGGGCCTTTTTTCGATGGTTTAAGACATCCACAATTTGCTGTCATTGAGGGGACCATAAACTTTTCTCTGTAGTAGAAAAACTGAAGAAGGTCTGACCTTATGCTCAAGTGCAACTGGAGTTGGTGATCCAGAGCACATCAAAGTCAACTTCTGAATTACTGAAGACCACACAAAAGACAGTCAAGTTTTGCTATATGGAATGCATCCACACATCATACCAAAATCAGTGTTAGTTATTTCTAACTTGATAAGCTTCTATAATGTTGGCTTTGTTTTGGTTATGTTTTACTGATGAAGCTTGGCATAGGCTCCAGAAAAATGGCATATTTATATGGATTTTTAGATCCTCACTAATTTTACCATTGATCCCTAATAAACCTTTTACATAAACTTGGACACACTTTATGCAATGACTTGTTCATTTTCAGTGCCTGTTTTTATGTTTTAAGAGTTTAATGTAAGATAGTGATATGCCAAGTTGCGCAGGTTTGATTCTAGATTTTCTTAGTTGAAATGTTCTTCGCAATGTGGCCACTTCCCCTAAGATCAAATTGCACATTTTGTGTTTTCATTTGCAACTCATACCAAATCACAACAGCAAATTTTAGAGAATATATATATATATTTTAGAGAGAAAAAAAAAATATATATATTGTTTTCTTTTTTTTTATCAGGCATTGGTACAGGTGCTGGCTCATCAATTTTTGGCTTCCTGACCAGAAGCACAGCTCCAAAAGACCGGGCCACTGTATTTGCTGCTGTCATGGCTTGTAGACAGGCTGGCCTTCTAATCGGTTTGTGCGTCTGTGATCTGCTATGATATCAATTAAAAGATAATTTTATTGTAATTTTTAAAAAAACGTTTAAATCACATCAAGGACAGTGTTTTATCTGTTTCCACTTACCCAGAATTTGTCAAAGTGAAAAGTTTACCTTGGTTCTACTTAGGCCCTGCATTCAACATCTTTCTGAGACTCTGTGACTTCCATATTGGTCCTTTTATTGTCAACAAATATACTGCACCAGGGGTAAGGATGCAAAAAAAAAAAAAAAAAAATCAAATTTTAATGTAAACTGATCACAAGCCTGACTAAGAACTAACAATCTTCTTTTCTGCTCATTACAGCTGTTTATGTTTCTGTTGTGGATTCTCCTTCAACTGGCAGTGGTCTTCATGTACTGGGACTTGCCACCTACGGAAAGAAGGAAGACCGATAACATTTCAAAACGGCATGAAGAAGAGAACGTACCTGGCCCTAGCAAAGACGAAGAAGAAGAAGTTGTTGAGGAGGAGGTTGTGCCGCTAATGACCTCCCAGGAGCTTGTGGGCTCCTACGGCTCCGTGATGACATCCAGCCAGTGCAAAAACCACAAATCGGATGAATCCAACAACTTGCTCAGTCACAGTCATTTGCCGCTTGAATCTCCTGTGACAACAGCAACCTCTGAGCTTTACAGTACTTTCAGGAACTCCAGCACATGTCAAGGTAACTGTTAGATGGAGTATGCATTTAATTGGCTGAAATAATTGATTTTATTTCTTTATTATCTGTTCAATAAAAATCTTAAAATCATTTGGTGTAAAGTATCAAAAAATGTTTACTCGATCTCTAGGGAAAAGTATTAACGTTATTTAACAATATATGGCTACAGATTTAGGGTTTGTAATTTTTAAAGTGATCTTAACCACTTTGAAGGTCATTGCGTATTGATATTTGTTGTAGCTTTTGAAAAAAGACGCATCAACGGTCTTGAAATTTGGTTTTCCTGTAACTTTGCTCTATTTGCTGTTTGCATATCAGAGCTCCTGAGAGAAGAAGTGATTGTGCTGCTGGCTGCTCAGTTCATCACCCTTTTCAATCAGACTGCGCTGGAGGTATACTTGCTCGTATACAAAGGTTATGTGACCTTAGCACTAAAACAAGTTCTTGTTTTTCTGAGTACAAGAAACATGATGTAAAACTACTTGGAGTTACCAAAGTGTCTGAGTTCAGGAGACTTGCTGAACCCTACAGAACGGTGTTGTCACACAGACTTTGTATACTTTTGGCTTCAGTTGCATCATAATAAATTAGAATATCATTAAAGCTCCCTAATTTCTGTCAAGAAGCAAAAATTATGTCTGTTCTACACAAAGTCTACATATTTCTGGTGTTAGTTTATGTTTCTTTAATGGTCATCATCACAGCTAACAATTGGTACAGAAGACCAAATATGTTCACTGGAGTTTGAGGTATTTTGCATAACTGAATGCATAGAAGCAGAGTTAACGTACTTGATCGCTCCCCCAAATCATCATGGAGGAAACTTCACAATGGACATTGAGCTTCTCCACTCAGACTATGGATGTTGATTTCTAAATGAAACACAACCTTTACTTTCATTTGACTAGTTCACTCTGGAGCACAGCAATGGTCAAGTTCTTTTTTTTTTACACCTATGCAAGACTTTCCCGATATAATCTGTGATTCTGGAGTGGCTTTAAATGAGGAATGTGAGAGTTGCACTCTGTGTCTAGTATATTTTAAAAGGAGCTTTTGACAAACTGACCCTAGCTACAGTTCAGAGATTTCAAATCTAAAACTGTATTTGGTTTTGCCTCACAACTTTCTCACAGCTGTTGGTGCATGTTTTTCAACTACACTTTTTCCTTCCACTCAACTCTATCAAGATATATTGAAGAAACTCTGTTAAAATCTAATTTCTTTAAGAATTACCTTTGTATGGCTCATTTGGGAATATTGTAAGCAATAATTAACAACATTAGCAAGTATAATCGGTCGAAACTTTTCAGTGTATGATCTGTATAACATAAGAGTTTTAATTTTGAGTGATGGAATTACTACAAATGTTTTTTTTTTATTCTAGTTATTTAAGATGATGTAAATTCATAAAAACACATCTTAGTAAACAGCATTGTAAATTTTGATTTACTCATTTTAGTTTGAATAAAGATGAACTCATAGGAATCGAATAAAAACGGTAATGACATTAGTACCTTTTACCTACAAATTGTATTTTTTTTTTCCTCCAGACTATGGTGACACCATTAACCCAGAAATATTTCGACTTTAAAGAGCTTGAAAACAGTGTGATGTACTGCCTCGGAGGTGTGGTGGTGATCGCCGGTTTCCTGCTTGTGCACTGGCTGAGCCGGCTCTTCACAGAGCGGTTGGTCCTCGCTGTTGGTTTGACCTTTTGCAACATCTCCTGCATCTGGTGCCTCATCTTTCTCACTAATCCAATGGGTCAGTTTCAGCTTGTTGTACTTGTATGTATACTGGATGATTCTTCAAATAAAGTCCAAAATTTAGTTTTAGTTTGTTAAACATTCAAATTAATACCATAAACTTTGAGTCTCATCAGAAATTCTCACTAATTTTGATCCTGCTTTTATTTTTCTTTTTCTTTTTCTTCTTTCCTCCTGCAGGTAGTTTTTCATGGCAGCTGGCAGAGTTTATCATCGGGGTTTTTCTGCAGGCCCTGGGTTTACCTTTTGTGGCTGTGGCCCAGGTTTCCCTCTTCTCCAAAGTTACATCAGAGAGAACCCAAGGTGAGTAACAGTGCCATCTAATGGATGCATAAATATCTGCCTCTCTTTGGATTTATGTCTCCTTCCTACTTACCTGGCTACTCCTCAGAAGCTCAATCATGTTAATCAGTAAAAGATTAATATGTGTAACTCTATTTTTGCGGTTGTTTGTCACCGTCTCTGCAGGCTTTAGTCAGGGAGTGCGTCGCTCAGTTGGGGGTCTAGCCACCATCCTGGGCCCTCTATGGGGAGGTGGACTGACTGAGCACATGTACATAATGGTGGGTGTAATGGTGGCACTTCTGGTCCTGCTTTCGGTAGGTAAAAAAATAATAAAATTGTATTAAGTTCTGAACATGAAGCATTGAAAATATCTTTAGCTCATTTGTTTGAAATGTACCTTTGTATGGCCTTAATATCCATATCCATAATATCAAATATTCTAATTGCAGACAAAGACAAATTTGAAAATTTTATTTGCAGGGTCTCTTAACTGAATGTTTTCATTCTTCATCATTTAAAAACTTGCAGCTTTTTACACCCCGAATGAAGATCTTATTTTAAGTATGTCATTTTGTGTGTCTGGTTTTGTGTTGGTGGATTTTATAATTATCAGTCATCTATTTTGTTTTAAGAATAAATTACACAAAACTAGCTTTTTATTTTGGAGAATAATACATTAGTACTTCAAATAGGGCCAGTAAGAACTTCTCTATTCAGTCTGGTTATCTTAGTCTGGTATTAAATGAGTTTCATCTGAACTATTCAAAAAAGCATAAAAGTGAGCATAAAAGCCAGTTGTCTTTTTTTTTTTTTAAACCACAGACCTGCTTGCAATAACATGCAATACTTAATTTTCTTTTGTATTAATCCAGACAAATTATTTGCACTTTCTACAGCTTATGGTGGCTTTCTCATACAACCGTCTAGTGGAGCCAACAGTGGAGCACACGGAAGGTTCAGAGCAAAGCAGCAGCAGCAGTTCCTGTATCTGAAACTGCTGCCGCAGTTACAAGGTAAAATAACTTTAAGTTTCTGTTGCTCATTTCTCAAAAAGATAAACTTTTTTGCACAAAGCAGTGACCCTTATTAAAAGTTCTTTAAATCAAAATAATTATGCAGGAGATATTTTCCACAGACACATTGATCTAAATAGTTTTGTGCAATGAATAAAGGGCTGCTTGTGAAGCTGGTTTGAAGACGTTTTTTCCTCTGGAATTTAAGTTATAATTGTATTGTGAATCTTTGTTTTATAAATTTTATAAAAACACTTTATTTGCTAAGAAAAATCAATATAATTTCAAATTCAATGCAGACTTGGATGAGTATTTTCCATTTTTGTATATTTTTTATTTTGTTCTGTAGTTTTAAAAATTAAACCAACAGTTTGAATAAAAAAACAAAACAAAATATAAATTAATAAAATGACGTGGTTTATGGAAGAAACTGCAGTTTTATTACTTTTACTTGAATGAATTTATTCTGTTTACCTGTACAGCCTTTGTATACTAAACACTGTGGAAACATTACTTTCTGATTTTAATTTTTCTGTTTTTATATCAGAACATGGTGCAAAGTATCTTGTCCAGCATCTTTAAGTGTAAGTTGGGACCAGTTCATGAGGTGACATCTCTCTAAAAAAGCAGTTCACTGACTGAAACATGGATTTTAGTGGCTGTTCATTTGAAGAGGTCTAATGGTAACTCCTTGTTTAAATATTTTTTTGTAAACTTTATTAAATTATAAACAATTTTCCAATTAGCATCTTACTGGCTGTAGTAAATTAAACACCAGCTTGTGCAACGTGCATCATTTTAGACACTTGTTCTGGTGGGGAAATACACAGGGAAAAAAATTGTATGTACTAACTGTATGATACTCTAGTTAATTTATTTATTTTTTTCTTCAAACCACAGTTGTCAAATTTGGAGTACACTTTGTGTGGTGTTGGTTAATTTGCTCTGCCATTAGTGGAAAAGTTTTTTGTTTTTTTTGTCAGTAATTTTATATGTCTGTTCCTCTGTCTGTAATTTTTTTCCCCTGATTAGATGTTCTGAATAAAATTTTTACGCTTTAAGTACACACTTCTTCCTCCATGTGTTTAATGTAGTGCTTGCTTTTAACACGAGTGGGCGCCATTAGTCTCTGTTCTGTTCATCGTCCTCATTAATACTGAACCCTGCATGCCGGGAGGCCGCAGCCAGAGAAGTGTCTTGTTAATCACTCGTGTATAGAACATGAGCTCCACCGACGCTGTTGGAACATGTATAAAATCTAATTGTTGTTTTTGCAGACAGTACTGTAGATGAAATAAAGATTTCATTGGGCTTTACATGCACAAAATGGTAAAATATTATAGTGGCACAATAATTTTTTTATTTTTTATTTATTTATTATGGTCTAATTGACCTGTTTCCATTCTCTATTTAATGATTTACCAAGAACAGCATTTTTCTGGGTAAATAACAGTTAAAATTTTACATTTATAGATTTTTTTTTTTTAAATTGCAGATCACATTGAAGGAAAAAAAAAATGCTTTACTAAAAATGTCTGACAGAAATCCTGGGTTAATTTCAAGGTTATTTTTAAGACAAAATAACCTTCATTATAACACCTGAAGTGTATGAACCAAACATTTTTAAAAACCTGTTAAAATTATGACTGGTGTTGAAAAGAAGTGACCTTAGTGTTTTTTAAAATTGTTTAGAGGGGGGAAAAAAATAGTTGCCATTATTTGGTTACTTGAGGTTGCACAGAATGTGCTTACATTTCCAGTTTAAAAAAATATATATTTATATCGAATTGTCTAAAAATTGGACTATTAGAATATTAAAAAGTGCCTTTTATGTATAAATTTATTTTAATCAAAATTTAAAATGTAATGAACTAAACAATATGGGATCAATGGCTTCACAATTTTACAAGCCTAAAATTATAAGTTGCTTAACCCCATTATTTATTATTTACTTAAAATAGATTTTTGGAAATGAGGAATGTAAAGACAATGAAACAATTCATAGTTCTCCTAAATATCCCAGAAATAAATTTCAATGTAATTGATTTTTCAGTTTCTACATTTTTTATTCTTTCAAAATTAAAAAGTCTTCAAAGTTTAAATAATATTTGAATTATTTTTTTGAAGGAGCTATTAAAGCTCAAATATCGGTAATTTCTTGTGAATTTGTAGGGGCATTGCACCTTGATGCACAGTGACTCAACATCAATATAATTTAAGGAGGCAAAAATGTGATTAAATTATAGAAAACAGTTCACCAATGAATAAATTAATTTTCTTTGAGCATAAATGGAACACAACCTGTGAGGAGAAGTGGGACTTATAGAGGATGTTGGAAGTTTTGAAGACTGGGTATGGTCCCATCAGGGGTCGCTGTGACGTTACTAACAGAAAATAGGATAAAGTGTGCTGTGCTTATGATAAAACATCGTGTCCCCAGTGACGTGGTGGCAAAGAGGCGTAGCTCGTCACTGTGAACTCTGGTTGAACCCATTTCCACGTTGGGCGGGGCAAGTACAGAGATGTTACGACACAGGGCCAGTAACAGAGATATTTTAGGATTTTCCATTTTTTTTAAAGCTTAACTAAGACCCTGTGCTCATCACATACACAGAGAATCCCAAAACACAGTTGGCCTGGAGCGACACTCTGACCGACGATTGACCCCCCCGTATCAGGCTCGAAAGTGCAGAACACGTCATGTGTCATAACTGTTTTTCTGGGTAAATTTGGCAAGCAGGCTCCTCCTCTTTCCTCTCCAATCACAGTCCTATGGTACCAAATTCCACTATGATAATGGACACGTGAACTTTTGGTGAACTCTGTTTTACCTCGACCAGACAGGGCAGCGAGGGCAGGCTGAGTTTAGTGGGACTTCAGTGTTTGTTGTTGTCGTTTTTATTTTTTTTCAACTCCCCAGGCTCGAACGCTGATTGACCTCCTAAAACTGGGTTGGCATAGTCTGGAGAGGGTGCCCATGACTGGAATTTCTTTGAAGCTTTAAGGCTTACTATGTACAAGTTGTTTTTTTTTGTGTGGATACCAACAAAATCTCTGACATGACCTGTAAGCTTTTATTAAATAAATTTTAACGAACATTTCCGTTCGAGAAAAAGAAAAAAAATCTGTATGACCAAGAGGAAATCCAGCTAAGGGCATGAAAATAGTCGCGTTACAAAAATGCTTGCACCCAATTGGATGTTTTATTAAAAAAAAAATTTATTTTTTATTTTTACAAATATTGAGCAAAATTAGTTTTGACTAACATTTAATCACACATGCACATAACAATCTGAAACCACCTGGTTTTTATGTTTAGTAACATACATAACGCTACTAAAGTATTTGTCTGAGATACAATAATAAAGTTGCCCAAAACTGCAAAATGACATTTCCATTTATTCATTATTTTATCAAAGAATCAGAAATGAGATGCGTATATGTAAAAATGTTGTGTGAGGGGATCACTTCAGGGAAACCATTTAAACATGTAAATAGTTCCCAAGATTTTTAATGATACTACATCTAGATGCTGGCAGTTTCTTGGCTCTTTAAAGATGAAAACTAGTTTCTGAACAACTTGGCAGATCATACAATATTCTTAAAGTAATTCCAGTTACATCAAAGTAAATGTAGATAGCAGAAGTGTTCAGGCTTTAACACTTAAATAAAACGGAAATATATTACTCTATTCACTAACTGTAAAGGGTAGAAATCATTGCTTTGCCAAAAACTTCAACCAAAAACAAGAATCCAGTCAACAAGATTAATTTAAAAAAAAATGAAAACAGTTATTAGTTTAGGATAAGTGTCAAATGTAGAAGGGAGAAAATGTATTCTCAATAGTAATTAAGTTCAGTTTAATCACTTTATTGGTCTCCACTGGGCAATTAAAAGGTGCAGAGAGCATGTTGTAAAATGACAGTACATGAATGACGAAACACCACTGACAGATTTAAAAATGTCCAAAATCTAGTAACCTGACCTAGAAAAACTATAAAAATAAGTTTTATCTATAAAAATAAAACTTAAAATTGCAATGTTTATAATTAAATCCAAAAAGGTGCTAAGAATTCATCGAAAATGCCTCATTTTAATGATGTAACGGATTAAACAAAAAAAAAAAGTGCCAAAACATTTAAATGGATAAAGTAAATAAAACTACATTAATTATTCATGTGACATGATGCACTTATTTCCGTTTAATAAAAACTTGATAATGATTGGGGACATTAGATTTCATGGATAAATGCATAAAATCTAATTAAAATCATTCATTTCTCTTTCACGTGTCTCTAAAATAGGAGAGTCTACAAATCAGACCTCAAACAAAACTGGAAATTGATGTTGGTCAGAAAAAGCTTGTGATTCTTCACTGTATAGAAATTTCTATACAGTGAAAAATCTTAGCAACAATCTCCTCTAAAAATATTTGACTTGCCACCGTGGGCATAAAATATTTAGTTTTTGCTCCGGTGCTGGGGATTCCTAATGTTTTCGCACAGACCGTCCCTCCTGTGGTCAAATCAAAATGATGGCACTAACACCGGCGCGTGAAAGTCCCACAGTGGTAGCACTTGAAGTCCTGTTTAATAATACATGTGTCACTTGGAAGGTGCAACATTTCAAAAGCAAGGCAGTGATGGAAAAAATGGACGAAGCAGAGTGCTGCAGTTTTGGCAACACAAGCATAAAAGGATCCACTGCAGCAGAAGGTTTGCCAAAGAAAACAGGACAATACAAGTCAAGCTCATGCCTTAGTTATACCATGACCCAGTTTCTTCTTTTTAAAAGGTCACATCGAGATCTTACTGCATTTGGTTTATGTAAAAGAGTGAACTAGGAAGAGGACAAAAAAAATGAACCCCATCTGTCACCCTGGGCAACATGACAGGAAGAGTCTTTCTTCATCATTGGTTTTATTGGGGATTCATGGTTGTGTAATACCTCTGCTGACTGAATGAATAAATGAGTGTCCTTTGCCTGTACACAGGGTTATGCTCCACAAGGCTGTTTTATATTCTAAAATGTCTCAAACTTCAACTGTTCTCCTTACTAAAGCAAAACTTCTGGCAGTCTTTTTTTTTCTTCCAATTGTCACATAAAACACTTGGATTTTGTAATTCTGTGATCTTTTTGACCTGTGACATTACGTGCTATGTGGGTGATTAAAGAGGAGCCACTCGCAAAGAAGGGGAGATTATGAATATGTGCATCCTATCCTGTTTCAGAGTTTTGGAGCTGCTTCTACCTCCTCTTCTTTTTGTGTCATGTATGTGATTTAATCTTTTCTCCAGGTTTCAATATGCCCCGTTTCATTTACATAGTCAAATCTGGCATCATCAATTAATATTTCTCTGAAACTAATTTGCAAGCGAGTGTAGAAGATATAACATGTATGTTAGATCTGGTTTCTGTGTAAAGGATTAATTGAAAGAGTTTTTGAGTTAGATATTTTTTTTAACAACTTCAAGTTTCTTAGAATAATAACATTTTTGGAACATAAGCATAAGCTGATATATTATTTCTTTAACATCCGTTGATGTTTAGTTGTTAAAAGCTATATCTTCTCATATCCAGACAATTTTTCCTGTTATAACCAGGGTTCCTATGTACTCTTCAAAAGTATTATGGAATTTGCTTTTATGCTTTTCCAGGTTTGGATGAGAATAGTACTGTTTCTTTTATTTTCTAAAGGATCAAAATCAAGTATTGATTTAGAAATGCAGCAATTTATATTAAAATTGTTCATTTTCTCTGAAGTGCAATGTAAAACTACAGATCTATAGCTCTCCTGTAAATTGGCCTCTTTATATATATAAACTTGGATTGAAATAGACGTTTGTTTCTTAATTGAGGTCTGGTTAAAATAGCAAACTGAAAGATTTTTATTAATGTGTTTCTACAAACAGGAGAAAGATGCCAGTGATTGTGATTTGTGTTCCCAAGAATCAAAATTTACCACAGGATACTTAAATCCTTATTTACTTCTCCAAGAGTCATACATTTTTAAACAGAGATTAT